ACAACCTTTGTATGTGTGTTCTTAGACGCTCTGCCTGGTGTGACTGTGACAGAGCATCTCCATTCAAATCATTCAGTCTGTCAGGGATGCATGTGCAGCAGCAGTTGTAACTGAATGGCTCAGCTTTCTGACTTCTGACAGAGGATGGTTATGAGATTATGAGAAACGGTCTTTGCAGTTACGCCTCGCTGGAACAGTTCACGTGCAGCAGCAGAGATTATTTAAAACCCAGAGAGCTGTGTTACCATGCAGTTCCAGCAAGCCTTTCGGCTTCCACAGACGCCTTTTAGCAGAGAGTAAAGATGGCCGTCATCACTATGCTGCTCACAGCTCTACAGCTAAAATTAGAGTGGACATGCAGGCAGGCAGAGCGAGACACTGGAGAGCCGAGCAGCAAACCCCCATTCATCTCCGATTTGAAACTTTCCATGAAGTGGCATCTCTTTGTGCTTTCTTCTGTGGACACCAAGGCATTTCCTGGCAGATTCCACAGGATGCATTGTGAACCCCAGTTGAACTGGGACCTATGGGGTTGCGAGGGAGGCAGCTGGCTCAGCTGAGGTGAAACAGGCTTGTATCCATAGCAGAGGACTGTGTCGGCAGCTGAAGCTGTAATGGTACACTGAGCTAATCCTCAGTTATCACTTCTCCTTCGTCTTTGGAAGTAGCTTTAAATTACAGGCCCCAGCACCCAAAGATGGAGGAATGGAAACATCACAGTGGGATGAATGACAGTCTGTACAGATTTTGGGTTGCAGACGCCACGTTTCCATCCTTTAATATGAAAGTGTGGCGTGTTACTGCTTTGATGCCTCGTCATCCTTTGCTGCTGACCACTGCGGTTCGGCCAGGTCGCAGTGAGCCCTTATCAATGAGCTGCTGATTGTGCTGCTATTTCTGCTGCAGCTTCTCAGACCTGCAGGTCAATCATTAACAGTCCGGGGAGTTGTTACAACACCAGAGTAATCATTGCATGTATGGTTATAGATGTATGGGACCAATGCAGGTGATCACAAAACCACCTCCAACCAGCAGGCCTTCAACTCAAGCCTGTATGAATCTCTCTCAGCTGATTACAGTGAGCTTCTTTCTCCTGCAAAGGGTACTTTAATCTAAGATGATGAGAATTGATTAAACCTTTGTACTGTCAGAGTTAGATGGCTTCCTGATCATGAAGAATCTGAATTTAAGAGGAACTCCTGAGAGTCGCAGCTATCGGAGGATGTTTGGTTATCAAGAGCTTCCAGTTTTTGTATTGTGACCTTGTTCTGTGCTTTCTCCTCAGCAATTGACCTCCTCTACTGGAGGAACGTGAAGCAGTCTGGTGCCGTGTTCAGCAGCGTTCTCCTGCTCCTTTTCTCCCTGACCCAGTTCAGCGTCGTCAGTGTCGGGGCCTACTTAGCTCTGGCGGCGCTCTCTGCCACCATCAGCTTCAGGATCTACAAGTCTGTGCTGCAGGCCGTGCAGAAAACTGATGAGGGACATCCTTTCAAGTGAGGGAAACAGGTCGATCACTGGCCTGGAAGTGGTTTAGAATCCAGCTACACTGACAGAATTTTTTTATTTTTATTGTTTCCAGGGCTTATCTGGAGATGGAGATCTCTCTGTCTCCAGACCAGATCAGTAAATATGCCGATAAGATCCTGCTGTATAGCAACACCTGCATGAAGGAGCTGCGCAGGCTGTTTCTCGTACAGGATCTGGTTGACTCTTTGAAGGTTTGCATCATAGTGAAATTAATCACTGCTTTCCTTTTATTCCTGATGAGATGTTTGCTTTAAGTTACTGCGCTTCAGTTTGCAGTTCTGATGTGGCTGCTTACCTATGTGGGTGCACTCTTCAATGGACTGACACTGCTCATCCTAGGTGAGATCATCTGATTTGCAAGCACTGCCGATGACTCACTTAATGAAGCGACTCACTGTTATTGTAGTAAAGCTATTTATCAGTTTTCTGTAAAATCAATCTCTTTTAAGAATCACGTCATGATTTTTTTTTCTTTAATCAGGATAAAGCTCATCCTTCAAAAACACATTTTCTCACTCAAATGCCTAAAATGGCAAATATGAAAATGATCTTTTCTCTTTGGGAAAAATGTCTGTCTTTTGTTTTTGTTCTTTTTTTCTTATTAAGAGGAGTCTCCTCGTTTACTGTTCAGCTGCAGAAAACCTTTACAAAATGGGTTATAGATATTTTCAGGTTTGAATGCCAGTTCAGAACATTTTAATCTATATTCTCCATCCCACTGTTCTTCTGCAGTGTTTTCAGCTCCTTCCTTCCTCATACACTTTTCTTCACTTTCCTTTCCCTGCATCCTTTTCTGCCTTGTGTCCTTCCTTTCCATCTTTGTTTTATCTTCCTTAAAGGCAAAAATATTTTAATACTTTTCCTTAAACTTTGACCTTTAATTCTTATAATTTTTGTCATTTTTTTCGAACTACTTATGTACCTCTTTATCTTGACTGATTCATTCATTCCTTTAGCTTATTTTTCTACCTTCCTCCTTTCATCCTCCATTCCTCTTCATTTATTCTCTCCAGCTGTTTTTATTGTTTCTTCCCTTGTGCCTTTTCATTTATTATTTTACCATGGATGTAAAAAACGAAGCATTGTCATATTTTCCTTTGAAAACAAGGGACTGAAAACTTTGAAACTCTAGAAAACAACTGAGTTTTTGCATAGTAAATGTTTAAAAATAATTTTGAACCATATGTGAAAATGTTGAGGGGATTTAAAAACTAAAACACATGAAACGTGGGGGGGGAGTCCTGGCGAACTCGAATTAAAGTCCAAATCCTCAGAATGTGTCAAAATGATTTTCAGTGCCATAAACATTAGCTGGGCTTTTAGGTCCAATTTGAAGAACTGTTGTTTTGTCAAATCCTGCAGGGGTTATCTATACAATAATTATCTAGTTTGTCATGATTTTCATTTGTTAACAGTTTTAGTTAAAGATCTTATTAGCTTTTCTGCCACATTAACTGTTATTGATGAACAATATTTAAAAGTTAATATATACCACAATAACAGGGATATGTTACTATTATTTTAATATACTCAACAGTCTATAATAACAGAGTTTGTCACTAATGTTCTGAGTTTTGTTTTTGAAGCAAATATTTTTTCGTTTATACACTTGGTAAAAGTAATGTCATAAATTTGTACAGGTATATTTGTTTTTGGCAGCTTTTTATCTTTTAGACTTGAACTTATATTAGCTTTTACTTACATATTAGCCAAAAACAATATATTATGAAAAGTTTTGGTCCATTGCTTAACTTTTCCTCCTCATATTCCTCTACAGCTGTGGTGTCAATGTTCACCTTGCCGGTGGTCTATGAAAAACATCAGGTAAGAGCAACGTTACCACTGGTCATTTCAGGTGTGCAGGATCTGGTGCAGCCTTTCAACAGGTCCGTTTCTGTTTACAGGCGCAGATTGATCAATATGTGGGATTAATACGGACCCAGGTCAACTCTGTGGTGGGAAAGTGAGTGAATGCATCTCAAGTTTCTTACATGTCACACTTTATATATATATATTTTGTTTTTTTTGGGGGGTGGGGGATGAAAAGAGGTTAGAGCATTAGCTTTTGTTCAGAGAAACTATATAGATAAAATAAAATGAAACTGAACTGATTTCATGTAAGACAAACTGATGTTTTTCCTCATGTTTCATTTATAAAGAGTGGATCAGGGCAGACACTTTTTCAGATCTTCAAAAATAATCCAACACAAATATTTACACTCATAACCTTACACTCAGTACAGGTTGTAACTTTAAAATTGTAGATAGCTATTTTGGCATATTTTTTAAACAGAGCTTGAAAAGCAGAGCTAAAAAGGTTCACAGCATAGTTCCTTAATAAAACCTTACCTCAAACCGCTTGATGAAATCAAAGCACCAATGTTATTCCCTGTCTGCCCAGGATCCAAGCGAAGATCCCTGGGGCCAAGAGGAAGGAGGAGTAATCCTGTCCGTGACACCTTGAAGCTGACGGTCCAGTCCAGCACCGAGTCGGGTTCCCGGCTGAAGGGCCCGATCATCATGTGTGGGGCGTAGTGCTTTGTCATCTTGGTGTTCTCTAAAAGCATCCACTGGGGAAGCCTTCACCCTGTCTATAGCAGTCTAACACTAACACACAGTCACAGTATGTGCATAATCCTGCTTCTAGGTAGATGACTACACAGCTCAAAGACAAAAAAAGAACCTGTTTGTGTTGCTTATTATGAAGTGCATGAAATCGAGCCTTGGGTAAATAATATTTGATATCTTTTGTGAAGTTTTGAAATCACGCTACATTTTTGCTTTGCAGTGCTAACCACAAGTTGTATGGTTTGGCCCAAAGAGGCTGAAAGCCCACAAACCTCCTCCGCTGCCAGTGTTGAATACTGCTTCGTGTCTCAGTTAACATTCGGGGCTTTTATCAGTATGTCAATATATATATATAAATAATTTCCTTTTGGTGTTTCCAAGCACAAGATAATTTACGGTATGCGTGTTAGATGTGGTAACTGTAGGGGTTTTGCTCTTTTTAATAACCATAAGGAACAACACACACACTCACATTAGGTACTGTTGTACAAGTATGAAGACAAGGAGTATCGGTTGATATGAAGCTTGTTTGAATAACTGTCCAACTTTGTATTTCATTCAGCTATACTTGGTAGTTCTTTAGACCCTGGACTCTAACTATTTGCACTTACAGTATGTATTTAATTACAGGAATAAAAAATAAATGTACCTTGATGTAACGTCTCCTGTGCCACCTCACTGATTCTTCCTGCCAACTGAGGCTGTAAGGGACGAGTGTCTTGGAGGCCATTTGGGGCTAAGTCTGACCTGGTGAAAGCTCTCATGTTGAGTCTGGGTTCAGAGACCTATAAATAAGAAGCTCTGGATTCTGACACACAAACAGCACAGTGCTGTGTAGATGCAAGGGTCACACACAGGTGTTTGAAAAAAAAAAAAAAAAAAGACTGACAAGACAAGACTCATCAATAACTACTTTTAATGGCCTGTAGGTAAATAATTACAACTCTACATGAACATAAAACAGCCCTTTTGGATAAACAGGAAACTTCTGCTTTGATAACATAAAATATTTCGGAACACAGTTTGTCTTATTTAAACATTAAAACCATCTAAAGAAAAAAGTTCTAATATCACTCCTGTCATTCTCATACGGAGCTTTTATTTATCTGTTGAGCACAATGGGAGAATGGAGCTGGAAGAGACCACCCTGAGCGTTTCCACCTCCTTGCTCTGCAAGGACCATTCTGTGAGAAGGATCAACCTGCAGGACAAGAACAGGCTTTAAAACACATTAGCTACTGTGTGAGGGGAAAAAAACAGAACCATGGGCCAAACAATGGAAAGAGAAGCACTCATCTGTAACATACCTGGTTCCACTTCCATTGGTTCTCAAGGTACGCCGGAGTGACAGCTGGTCTTGGAGGAGTCCTGATGAACAGTCTGTAAAAACAAACCCTTAAACATGTTACTGGTTCTCTTGAGATAGTCAATAGGTTTCCATGTTGATGTGAGTGTGACCTGGTGAGGCGGTCTCCGCAGTCCTGTTGAAGCTGACGGATCCTTTTCTGGCTCAGATGCAGAGTGCTGCTGGGCCCGTTGCACAGCAGGCTGTTGATGGCCGACCGCAGAGTGTTAATCTGAAAGAAAAACAATCCACTGCACAAAAACTGGGACTGAAAAACAATGTACTGCAACAAAAAGCAAAACATTAATATAGACTTATCATGGAGAGCATTATGACCATGAAAGGTCTGCACCTTTACGTCACTATATATGAAACTGATGTAAAGCTCTGAATATTGTGACACCTTTCCATTAGAACCAGCATTTTTAGCTACGGCATCAAGTAGGGGTAAAACAAATGTTGTGAACCAAAATTTGTGATAAAAGTATTAAGAGACGTGTGACTGAATGGTCTCTATACTTCTACAAAAACTCTAAAAGTTTTACATCAACTGGACTCTCAACAAAAAAAACATCTGACAGCATCTCACAGCTCATTAAAATAACCTTCTATACACTTGCGTGCGTAATTATATAATAATAAGCAGTCAAATGTCCTAATATTTCCTCTCCACCTTAAATAAAAAACAACAGTTCAAATGTTTTTGTTGCTGGTTTTAATCAGGGTCTGCAAACCTAACAGTCCTAATAGCACATTTTTTTCTCAGTCCAGCTAAAACAAACTTTTTAAGAGCAACAAAAGGTACACAAACTGAAAAAAACAGCTCATAATTGTTGATAAATATTTACAATAGGAAATATTTCCTTAATTTTAAAGAACCACCATTCTGTTTTTTAGATTAGATTAAATTAGATTAGATGAGCTTTATTGATCTCACAGCGGAGAAATTCACTGGTCACATATTGGCATAGTAATTAATTTTTAATAATATCAAATTGTTATAAAAACCAGTGATAATAAAAGAAGCCCTAAATAAAAATTTCTGCTACTCGGTCACATTAAAAGCACAAACAAAAATATACTTTATTGTAATCTTATATGATTACATCTTATATGATTATCTCTCCTAAAACGCTGGCATAGACTGAACTTTCTATGTATTTTTTCAGTTTTGCATAACACACAGCAGTGTAACGCCCATGAAATGATGCACAAGCCAGAGTCCTGAGGGGAGCAGCGGCCCTCTCTCGGCATAGTCGTGTGTGAAGGACCGCTGGCTCTGATGGCAATGTGCGACTCAGCTTTGGAATCAGTTTTGGAAGGATTAGACTAGGAAGAGGCTCTACGCTCATTCATGTTTAAGAAGGATATATTCGCCATTTCACCGACAGGCTGTTTGTTTACACTCCCCCACCAGCTTTCTGTCGCTCTTACTACGTCACAGTCAGTTGCGCTCATTGGTCAGAGTGTTGGCCAATAGGCACAGCGGTGATTCCAATTAATGAACGAGACTGTGGCAGCCCGCAAATACTGGAGCAAATACGGAAGAGCGAAAAAGCAATTTATGTCCTTAATATATAATTGTCTTACCAGAGCATGTTTGTTTTTAGACATTAACTACTACTTGAGCCAAACCGAGACCACCTCTTCAGGCCACATTAATTTTGTTGCGCATTAAGAGTTCGATTGTGCTTTGATACGGACCCACACAGCTCCAGATTTAGGTCGAGCTAAATTTAGATTGACCTAAACCTGCAGGTGTGAAAAAACACCCTAAATTTTGGTACACTTAAGTAGGATCAGATCAGACCGGTTAACCTTCACTCTGCAGCAGCCAGCTTGGCTGCCCATGGCCCTGTTGCTGGTTCTCTGTTCCTTCCTTGGACCACTTTAAATACATACAGACAGCTGTAAACCCAGAATAGCTGTACTTCTAGAGATGCTCCGACTCAGTTGTCCCACTTAATACTCCATGTGCTTACTTTTCTGACTTTAACTTTTATTTTGAGGATAGACCGATACCACGAACCTCCAACCAACAGGTGCCACAATGAAGCAATAATCTGTCTTTATCTCATTCATCTTGTGCATCTATTATATTTATTTATGAGCCTTCTAATCTTGTTACCAATAGTTGAGTAGAAATGGTGGTACATTTGAGAACTTTAACAGCAGCATATCATAAAGCCACTCTGTGTTCTTTATAATGCAATATAGTGAGTCTAACAAAATGATGCTCGATTCTTAGTCTAGAATATTTAGATATCTGCTAAAAACCCATGCTGTTTTCTTAACGAGGGTAGTTTTAAAACAGAGTTGGAGTGATGCAAGAGAAGTTCTTTAAGTGTCCACACTATAACTGGTTAGGGGTGTAAATAATCGCTTTGTATCGATGCATCGATCCAACAGCCGATGATCCGATGCATCGATGCGTCCGCAAGAGTATCGATTCATGTTTTTTTTTTTTCCTCCAGTCTATTTTTATCCATTTGCTCCTGGACGTAATTCTTCCTCCCGTGCTGCGGTGGCGCTAAACCTATTTTGCCCTCCTACCTTGCTTCCTGGTTATACTCTTGAGGCAGTGTGTTGCAGTAAGCTTGACAAAGACATTTTTGATTTATGCTCAATATTGAAGCGTAGTCTTAGCTATTTGTGTGGGTCTAGATACGACTGATGCGCTGAGGAAGTGGGGGCGAGTTTAGTCCGATGATGGAGGGACATGAGGGCCAAAAAGAGCGGAGATCCAGGTGGAAAAAGGGTCCCAGCGTTCTCGCGTACCTCACTCTTATAGTGGGTCAAACTTCACGAGTTGTTTTCCGTAATTTCGGTCATAAAAACTAACCAAGCCGGCCTCCTGTCTGCGGCACTGTCTGTGGTCACTAACAATTTGGGAGAGGTGCAGCGGAGCGTCTGTGGAGGGGGCGGGGACGTCTGGAGCCGAGGTATTGCATTGTACTCATTGCACTGATTTTGTGCAGTATAATTTGATGCAACTTTTCTACATCTGTTATTTGATGTTTTTTTTTTTTTTTAAATGCATAACAATATTACAGCTTTCATTGATTTATTTCAAATTTGAAACATTGTCTAGCCTGTAAGGTGTAAAAAAAAAAAAAAACATTAATCGAATGGAATCGTATCATGGTGTATTCTTGAGTATCGAAAATAATCGAATCGTTGGGTCAGGAAATCGATACTGAATCGAATCGCCATGATGGATGTGATTTACACCCCTATAACTGGTTATATTTTAGTGGCTAAAAACAGTCATATTTGTCTTTCTTTGAAGCGAGCAAAAGCTGTGGATGCTTTCTTCATCCAGCAGACTGGAAGTGTAGAGGTGAGGGGATGGCAGGACAGAGTTATTCAATGCTTCACACTGACAAGACTTTAATTTGTATCACAAAAAAAAAACATTTTAAATTCTCAGAGAGCCATATAAGAAAATTTAATTTGTGGTTTATTTCATTTTAGGGTTTTTTTCTTGACTTTTAAATACATTTTTATGACAATGCAACTGAAACACCAGTTAAAAAAGTTTGCTTTCCCTAATAAATTACATTAATTTTACTTACTTGAGTAAGCAAAGCAAAGGTGTCAGCATAAAAAGTGTTTCCACAATTGGAGTAAAATTCAAGATTAAAGATCCCCTTGGCTGCTGTATTATACTGTAAACACTCTAAGAAACGCTAATAGAAAACAAAAATAAATACCTTAACTTTCCTTTCTTAGGCCTAGTCCATTCAAAGAAGAACACAGGGCATTTTTATAAACAGCTTAGAAAAGATTTTTGTCCAAACTCAGTGTACACGGCACCAAATAAAACGCTGCAGCACGCATGCCCGGCCCTAAAAATAAGTGTTTAAAATTCAAACATTAGCTATGTACAAATATGTATCTTAATTGAGGAGAGGAGACAAGAAATACACATTAGAATACAAGAACATCTATGGGGTGATAAGTCTAACTGGATCAAAATGCTAGCAGAAAAGATGAAATAAAGGCATTTTATAAATACGGTATTCTTATCAGATTAATCAATTATTGAAATAATCAACTAATTTAATAACCAAGTAGTCATTATTTGGAGTATAGAGACTGTAAAACATGCCTTTAGCTGACAGAGCAACCAACTTAGAGCAGTAATTATACAAAAATTGTAAAAAAATAAATAATACAAACATTTTGCATTTAAGATTTGTTTTAAAGTCGTCCGTCAAGAGATAAGAGATATATATAGATATATAGATCCAGTTCTCTCTATTATCCTTTCAAAAACAGAGTTTAATTAATTTTTTTACTTTTACACGTCTCTCTAGATGGCACAAGGTGACTTTCCGTGTAGAACTTCTGCACTGTACCACAATCTATCTGGCGACGAGAGGAGGAGGTACAGACTTTCCTAAGACCCACCCCTTCTTCTTCTGATTGGCTAATACTGTTATTTTCAGAGTGCTCCTTTGCTACCATTGACAAACGCAAGAGGGATTTTGATTGTCTTTTTTTAAACCATTTATTTACTGTCAATTTATTTTCGAGTGATTTTTTTTACCCACGGGCAATCGCTAGGGAACGGAATACTTCTGGAATTTTGGAAGGTTAAGAAAATGTATTGAATTTATACTGGGTGACCTGGACTGAGATTAGGAGTTGAGGTATGGTTTTGTATATTCTATTATATAGTGATTCAGGACATCTTAGGTTATATTTATTTGGGTTGGTTTAATGTTCTAAAATTCCCATCAACATTCTAAATCAGAAACTAAAACTACTTACCAATCTCTAATGAAACTTAACTTTTTGTTCCTAATTATCCCCAGATGATCAGTAAAACAGAAGTTTGCAAATGAATAAATTATCAAATATCAGTTTAGAAGAAAAACATTATCTTTGAATTGTGGGTGGGTGATTTAAAAGGGGGTCTTATCAAAATCAAACGGCAAGGCCCAGGACCTGCTTCAGTACTACATTTCCACTTTTTTGCCTTAAATGTCACATGCAGCAATGCATGTGTCATTTACGCGCAGAAGGATTTTCCTCAAACACAAGATATCAGTTAATTTCAAAGCCAACAATACACTCAGAAACAAATTGGTTTATCCTAAAGACAGGACACCCAAACGTAAGCAGAGTTGCGTTGTGCATACGATCCACTGCGGTGAGGATTGTACAGCTTCCTATACAAGAGAAACTGAACGACAGCTAAACTCTACACAGCTTCCAAGCATTTACAATTCAGTCATGAAACTCATTCCCAAAAAGTTACATAAGCACTGCCAACATGATTCAACAGACCAATCACGAAGCCAATGCACAACAAAGGGCCCCAACAATCCAGAAGAACAAAGGGGGCTATTTACAGGTGCTGGTCATAAAATTAGAATATCATGAAAAAGTAGATTGATTTCAGTAATTCCATTTAAAAAGTGAAACTTGTATATTATATTCATACATTACATACAAACTCATATATTTCAGATGTTTATTTTGTTTAATTTTGATGATTACAAATGACAAATGAAAATCTCAAATTCATCATATCAGAAAATTAGAATATTACTGAAGACCAATAAAAACAAAGGATTTATAGAAATGTTGGCCAACTGAAAAGTATGAACATGAAAAGTATGAGCATGTACAGCACTCAGTATTTAGTTGGGCCTCCTTTGGCCTGTATTACTGCAGCAATGCGGCGTGGCATGGAGTCGATCAGTCTGTGGCACTGCTCAGGTGTTATGATAGCCCAGGTTGCTCTAATAGTGGCTTTTAGCTCTTCTGAATTGTTGGGTCTGGTGTATTGCATCTTCTTCTTCACAATACCCCATAGATTTTCTATGGGGTTAAGGTCAGGAGAGTTTGCTGGCCAATTAAGAACAGGGATACCATGGTCCTTCAACCAGGTACTGGTAGCTTTGGCACTGTGTGCAGGTGCCAAGTCCTGTTGGAAAATGAAATCTGCATCTCCAAAAAGTTGGTCAGCTGCAGGAAGCATGAAGTGCTCTAAAACTTCCTGGTATGTGGCTGCGTTGACCCTGGACCTCAGAAAACACAATGGACCAACACCAGCAGATGACATGGCACCCCAAACCATCACTGACTGTGGAAACTTTACACTGGACTTCAAGCAACGTGGATGAAGTGCCTCTCTTCTTTTCCTCCAGACTCTGGGACCTTGATTTCCAAAGGAAATGCAAAATTTACTTTCATCAGAGAACATGACTTTGGACCACTCACCAGCAGTCCAGTCCTGTTTCTCTTTAGCCCAGGCAAGACGCTTCTGACGCTGTCTGAGGTTCAAGAGTGGCTTGACACAAGGAATGCGACAGCAGAAACCCATGTCTTTCATACGTCTGTGTGTGGTGGTTCTTGAAGCACTCACTCCAGCTGCAGTCCACTCTTTGTGAATCTCCCCCACATTTTTGAAGGGGTTTTGTTTCACAATCCTCTCCAGGGTGCGGTTATCTCTCTTGCTTGTACACTTTTTTCGACCACATCTTTTCCTTCCCTTCGCCTCTCTATTAATGTGCTTGGACACTGAGCTCTGTGAACAGCCAGCCTCTTTAGCGATGACCTTTTGTGTCTTGCCCTCCTTGTGCAAGGTGTCGATGGTCTTCTTTTGGACAACTGTCAAGTCAGCAGTCTTCCCCATGATTGTGTAGCCTATAGAACTAGACTGAAAGACAATTTAAAGGCTTTTGCAGGTGGTTTGAGTTAATTAGCTGATTAGAGTGTGGCACCAGGGGCCATCAATTTTGAACCTTTTCACAATATTCTAATTTTCTGATATGATGAATTTGAGATTTTCATTTGTTGTCATTTGTAATCATCAAAATTAAACAAAATAAACATCTGAAATATATGAGTTTGTATGTAATGTATGAATATAATATACAAGTTTCACTTTTTAAATGGAATTACTGAAATCAATCTACTTTTTCATGATATTCTAATTTTATGACCAGCACCTGTAATTAGCATCTGACTTCAAATGTGTGCAGGTGGATGGTTCTCCATGCTGCTTAAAACCATCAGAACTAGAGTTTCCTCTGGTTTGAGCCTACAGAATATACACTGACACCTGGATAGGTGTCAAAAGGTCTTAAAAAAATCTGAGCAAAAGTCAGGTTCCCTTCCAATTTCAGCGTGTTTGTGGTTGCCATGATCTGGATGACAGAATTTACACAGGCATCTTGGTATACCTTGATACCAAAAACCAACCGAAACCTTTAGTGAATAGCTTCCAAATGCCAGAAGAGGTGTAGTTTTAGTTTATCTTGACAACCTATATTCCTGACCTAAGGATTTTAGAAGGTGCAGCACATTTTCAATTTTCACTAAAAGATATAGTGAAGGATGTTCTTTTTCTGGGTGGATCATCAAAATAAGTGGTCCTACTAATTGTCAACCAGTCTGGTGATCTGTTCACGTAAGGGTGTTCTACGTGCTCGTCCCCATTTTCACTTACCGGTGGTGAGACTGATATAGCAGAAAAATTGCAAATCTTCTTTTGTAAAGTTTGTAAAGTAAGCTTGTATGAACGATGCAAACAGCAACTTTTAAAAAGAGCATGCACAAGGAATGGGCTTGTGCATGCTCTTGCACGCATTTAACAGGCGTTCCCTCTCAGGAGTGGGTACAGGGTTGTGCATGTGCATATTTTTTTTAAAGTGGAGAGGACCGGTCTTTTCAAAAATTTGCGTAAATCCTCCACTATACCTTTAAAGTTGCGTATGTAACCCTGAATCCCTGATGACTGCCACAGGGCTATGTGAAAAGTACTGAAAGTTCCAGGTGCATTCCACAATATCTAGCATTTGTTCTTCACTAAAGACAACCGTTACCTCGACGACGTCTTTGTTATCCAACTTGACATCAAAGGCCAGTTCAATGTCATTCTCAGGCAGGATGGGCTTCTGTGCTACTTCTTCGAAGCCCAAGCCGCAGAGCGCTCCGGTGTAGTAGCTCTGTTCTTCGTTTGTGCTGCAAAAGGTAAAAAATGTTGTACATTTATTCTCAGTAAGTTAAGGCTCTATACAAATTAAATGGCAACAGAACTGTTGGCTGAACAGACCGCAGCTCCAAGACTGGCGTGAAGAGCATCATCACCAAGCTAGGCAGTCCTGGGATGTCAGGCAGCAGGGAGGTATCGTTCAGCAGGATCTGTGTAGCTTTTAACATCAAACACACCTCATCACCCAAATGCACTGTTTTAATGTTTTCTCTGTTTATCTTGTTTGACATCAACTTAAGTTGTCTAAACAGAATACATAAAGCATGATACAGTTTCACTTTTAACACAAAATCCCTTCATATCCAACCTGAAGGATTGACGGCCACCTTCGCCGCCACCAGCATCCTGTGATGTTTGAAGTGTGGGTTTTCATTTAGGGTGAAGTGGTTGATGCTGCTCCTGTCAATACTTACGGTCCTGCAGGACGACACACTGCTTATCAGCAACTGGATTTAACTCTAAATCACACTTTCTGTTCTGGGTATTACCTGTAGTACGTTTTCCTGCTCAAGCTGTGGAACTTGGTCTGGTAAGGACTCCAAGGTCCCAACAGATTAACCTGAATCATCAGAAAAATTACTTATTATCAACCTTCAGGCATTCCCAGAGCAGTATAACTTGGATCTATTTGGAGAGTCAATAAAGTCAATAAAATGGGCACCCCTGAATAAGGATGGCAAATAACATGATGGTGAAATGCCACCATCTAGTGCAAAACATGAATTACTACAGTCATCTTAATGTTTTTCTATTTGTACATCTCATGCTTTCATTTAATGTTATAGGTTTAATAAGAAATAAACAGTTTTGTTTTTTAGTGGCGGGAATATATTATAAGTTTTATTTAAGTCAATTAAAGGGGTCTGTAATTAATCACAATTAAACAGTTTAATTGAAAAAAAAACACTTTTGATTCAAAAACCCTCTTTGCTCTTTAATTGTTAAATAAACATAAGCACAGCAGCAACATATATATTTATTGTTCTTAATCAATTTTAAGATTATTCAACCATGAGATTGGTTGAAAAAAATATATATATATCATTGGTTCAGAAGTGGGGGGGGGGGGGGGGGGGTGAAAGTATTTTTTATTATAACCCTTATATATAAGTTTAGCTTGTTTTATAGTAGTTCTTTTGTGTTTGTTTCCTCCACTTTCTCGTGGCTCTCTGTTATCCCTCTCCTGACAAAATATATGTCATGAATAATTGGACAATTTGGGGTGAAACACTCCATGTAGATTAAAAACACATAGTTTTACAATTAAAATGAGCTTTGATATACAAAATCCAATTCATAGATTGTGTTTTTATTCTTCCTTTTTTGATAATTATAATCATTAATAATCATAATAATAATAGGCTGTTTATTTGTGTATTCAGTGATAGTAAGTGGAGACGTTTCTATCTTCTCTGATGCTGTTTACATACCCTGTCATGCAACTGCTGGGGGAGCTAAGGCTCTACCTTTTGCTGTGCCATTCGCACATTCGTCATCCTGGGTTGCCCTTTTGGCCGCTTATCCCCAATTTTTGTACATTTGTAATTTGATCAATTATTATCAAATGATGTCTTATAACTCAGAATACATGGTTTAAAAGGCATTTATCTTTAAAAAATTAAGTATATCTTCTTGAAATGAGACTTAGAAAGCCTATTTTGTATGAGTAGGTGTGCGAACTATTGGCATTTTCATAAGTTAACTCTGTCCTACATAAACAAGATATGGGCAGCACAAGGTGAAGAAAGACGACTGATCAAGTCGAACAGACTGGGTTGAGGAGTTAAAACATCATCTCAGGTTTACCAAGGATATCAATGTGGAACAAACAGAGAGAAATTCAAATCTGAAGTTAGCAGGAATACAATGCTGTGTGATTATAAACCAAAGGCTAAATTTGTGTTTCCAACACCATCCCTGGTAGTAAGACCGCTCTCCCATTGATATTTTCAGTCACGTTTTATTCACCAAGAACTTTGCTGTTGTCGTTTCTTTCTAACCAAACCAAAGGGATCAAAGATGATCTTACGTTTTTCTTGCAATAGGACTTGTGGCCACTGGACAGCTGAGTCAGCAGACTGTGGATCATCTCCTCATCTTGTTCTTTTTGTTCACTCATGGAACTGCTGACAGCAGTGGGGACGTATGTTCCCTTCTCCATTTCATTGTACACCCACCTCAGATCTTCATGGCTTTGCTGAAACAAACATATCTTTTTATAGATAATAAACATTCAGAGCATAGTACAGCGGGCAGAATGAGCAAGACAATATTGCATTTAACTGAAACACTATCAAATGTGATGAAACACTTTCACAAGTTTAACATAACAGTTGGCCTGTTCGGATTCACAGAGTCTGGCTAACACTAAATTTCTGGTCAGTCTCGAGCAGGGGTGTCAAACGTACATCTGTACCATTTAGTCAAGCCCGGTGGCTAAATGCATTATCATTATTCAACAATGAATATTGAGAAAAACATGTATTTTTTTTTATCGAAAATCTGGAGTTCCTATATTGTCCATGAGGGGTGCTGTGTTTTATTCAGAACAGACGACACGAGGCAACACAGCATTGGAACTAACAGCAGATTGTAGCACTGAGCTTCAGGTTCTGTAAATGGCTTTGATTCTATCACTTTACCAGCTTTTTATTTTGGCCCTGCCAACCTCATCAACGAAATGTCTTTCTCAAAAAAGAGAGAGGTAGACACAGAGCGTCAGACTTTTCAAGAAAAACTGACTTGTTCACAGAGGTGAATGGAAAAACTGTGTGCCTTGTGTGTCTGCAGCAGTTTTCGGTGCTTAAGGAATACAATACGAAGATAAATGAAATGTTGATGGGTCTGAGGGAACAGCAATCTGTTTTCACTCGAAGTCTAGAGTCCAATGATGCTTTAGCATCAAAGCTTACTGTGAGGGAGAATTCTTCAAGAACTGCATGCTGAAGGCTGGCCAAATTGTGTGTCCTGAGAAGCAACAAGCTTTTGCCAATGATAGCTGGATGAGAAATACCATGGCAGACAGGATTTCGGAAGTATCGGCAGATTTGGTCAACAAACTCAAGCGCAAAACGGAGTCATTTCTCGCATTTTCTGTCGCAATTGATGAGTACTGATATTGCGGACGTCTCTCAATTGGCCACATTAATTTGTGGAGTTGACGAGCTGTTGATTGCCACAGAAGAGTTTCTTGAGTTGGTGCCCATGTCCCACAACATGACAGCTGAAGACATTTTCCGCTCCGTTGTTGGAGCACTGGACAGAGTCGGGGTGGACTGGTCACGCACCTTAAGTCTGACTACTGATGATGCGTTGTCAATGATTGGGAAAAAGAAGGTGTTGTGACAAAGTTCAGAGAGGAGGTACAAGCGCAAATAAAGGGGGTGAGTTTTGGACATTTCATTGTATTTTAGATCAGGAGGCATTATGCTGCAAGTCCAGAGCAGGATCACGTCATGGAGACTGTTGTCAGAACTGCTAATTTCCTCCAAGCCAGAGCTCTCAATCATCGTGACAGCTTTCTCAGTGACTGCAACATTCTCCATGGTCTACCATACATCACTGAGTTAGATTGTTAAGCAGAAGTGCTGTGCTGAAGTGCTTCCTTGCTCTACGTGGGAAAATTGGAGAGTTCATGGAGAAAAAAGGTAAACCTGTTCAGGAATTACACTGCCCGCTATGGCTGCAGGACCTTGCATTTATGGCTGATATCACAGGACACTTGAATAACGTAGGAAACATGGCACTATCATTACCATTACTTTTTCATCACGTGGGTGAATTACGCAATCATTCCAGATCTAGCAACTACGAGGACAGTCAAGGCAGTTTAAAACAACACATCCCCTGCCAAGAAACTTGACGACTCACGAAGCTCTAGTCTGACCAAGAAGTTAGTGGTAGACAGACATTGTCAATCTGAACAGGCCCACTATTTTGTCAAACTTGTAAGTATTTTGTAAAACATGAAAAAGGGGTTTTTCAAATTAGTTGAAGTGTAAACGTAACATTGTTTTACACTTTCCAGCCACCGTAGTTTAGCATTTAACACAAACAAATCTATAAACAATCTATAATAACTTTCATTTACCAAACTACTAAAATGAGAAAAAGTCAAAAAACATCACATTATCTTTAGACCGTATTGTATCCCAGGGCCTTTCATGTAGAGGACCTCAGCTAATGTTCTGGAGTCACCTGAGAATCAAAGCTCTCCTCTGCTTTCACAGCATAGCCCTCCTCCACCAGTATGTCCACTACACTGGTACTTTTCGAATCCTTGTTGATGAGGAGCTCAACACGCATGACGCCGTACAGGATCGAGTAGAGGGACACAATTACTGACTGGTTCTTCACCATTGTGATGAAGCAGTCTCTGGCACGGCTGCTCCACTGGTTTCCCAGTATGATGGACTGGGCTGAAGGACGCATTCCAACAACTTGGAATTCCCAGGCCTTAAAAACAAGCATAAACCTGTGACTAACTTATTTCAAACCTCATTGAAGAGTCCATTTCCAATCCAGGATATGATGTTTACCTGATAAGGCTCAGACAGCAGGTCAGATGGCAGCTCCCTGAGGCTGCTGCTGGAAACAACTGCAGTGTTTCCAAAGTCCAAAAAGAACACCTACAGAATGAAAAGAGCTTTGGGTCAAACTTTATAAAGCTTCAAAATATCACTGAGGCAAATGCTTTTATACCCAGTATGGTCATTTCTATGTCAATATCTGCAATATGCAATTTAAAGAACATTTTGGATCCAATATTTATATTGGTTGGTTTCTCAGTCCCTCTCTGCAAGAAAGAACCATTATCTTCTTTTTGTCCAAACCTTATACAGCTCAAATTTTAGAAAGTGTGTTCAATACTTTTTATTGAACACACTTTCTTTGCCATTTCTCTTGATTACAAATAAATTAATTTCTGGATATCTATCGTTTGATTTCGCCCTGTGCTTACATCACAGGAAAACTACAGCGAGCGTGAGCGATCAAATGTTAGCCTGTTAGTGTTAGTTATAGTGTTAGTTATAGTGTTAGTTAGTTAGTGTTAGTTAGTGCTAGTTAAAATGTTAGTTATATGGAGAGAGGCAGAAATCAGGATGGATGGATGGATTGATGTTGCAGTATCTATTACAACCCAAACACAGAATTAGACATCCCCAGTTATTAATTTCATACACTCACCAGATCTGAACGCCCTGTTAAAAAGCTTCACACCCATGAGTAGAAGTAATGCAGCCTGATGATATTTAAACCACATCAGATACCGTTCCCCCCATGTTAAGAAGAGGGGAATGCTATCTGACAGGGTTTATAGGCCCATCAGATAGCGTTCCCCCCGATGTCATGTACGTTGAGTTGCAATAAATGCAAAACTCTCTGCAGGTTCTTGTCTTTGTCGTCCACTCCATTCAGCTGGCTTTTAAAACACACGGTGAGAAGGTGGGGGCCGGGTGGTGAGGGTTACAGGGGCCAGAAACGCAAAAGTAATGCAATAGTTACTTTTACTAGTGACTAGTTACTTTTATTGTGTAACTCAGGTACTTTTGGGAGAAGTAACTAGTAGCTATAACTAATTACTTTTTTAAATGCTGATAAAGATTCTCAGTCATCCAGGTCATAGTTATTCCGTAATTCTCAATTGAGAAAGCTTCCTGGAGAGGTGGCGAAACGTCTTCAAATCTTCGAAACCAAGTCCAGTGGATATTTTCTGAACTTTTACGAAATTTTTCAAAGTAACGTGTCAAACACTGGTCGGGTTGCATTTCATTATTTACGGGTCAGCGGCGCCAGACAGGTTTTAAATGGGGATAATTGTGGGTAACGGGTCAGATCTCGGTTCTGAACTCTATGGGTGCAGGAGGATACAGTTTTGAAAAATCAGACCCGTGTAGAACTCAAAGTACTCAAACTTAAAATCTTGGACCAAGTTGAGGGACAGGCTTGGCATTTACCGAAAAAAGTTTGTAGAATTAAGGAAAAAATGTCCTGCTCTTCTGATATTGGGTGAAATGTTTGATATGAATACAATTTTTTTAAATATTATAATAAATAATAATAAAATATTATATCAATCAAAAAAATAATAAATTGGGGGATGACTTTGCTATCCACAACTGGAAAAATGTGAGGAAGAATAAACCTATCCAGCTGCATCATATCCCTATCAGAAAAACAAAAGATTGAGCAGCAGTATTCACCTCCACATTGTTGCCACTTATGTGCAGGATCTTGGCTCGGTAGTACAAACTCTCCTCATTGCTTTCCGAGAATGGGGCCAAACACACCAGGTTGGGGTAAAGTGACACAGTCATGGGAGACATAGTACACTTGTTTATCTCGGACGTCAGGCAGCGCTGCTTTTCCAAGCTTGCTTCATCTCCTGGGAAACCCCAGAAATGACCCACATCCATCACCTGCAGGAAAGAATTAACCGGGAAAAACAAACTTTCGCTTTAACTACATTCCAGGACAAAAATGAAAAATGTAAGCTTTGCCAGCAATGTGTTGGAAAAAGACTGACCTTGGTGATGTTCACAACAAACAGGCGACTGGGAGGCAGCTTGCCAGGGTTAAATTTGGTGCTGACCGAATCCATCAGGGAGAGGGACTGTCTTTGGATATCTGCCTTCAGTCTGTTTTTGAAACACAAAGTCCTTTAATGCTACAGACCAAGCAGCTTTAACAACACTCGGTTCTTATCGTTGCATCTTCTATTTCACCTCTAAATGTTAAAGTCTGCAAATCAAAGTAATCTCTGTATTAAAATAATAAATTAAATGTCGTAGCTTTTAAAGAAAACTGAATGTGAAAATATAGGCACCTTCAAAAAACACAAAGGGGCTTTACCCAAAAACGGTTCGGATTAAATTATAGACATTTATTTTTTTCTTTAATCAAGACTAGTGTTAGAGCACGACCGAAAAATCAGTGAGTTGATTTTAGCTTCTGGCTCATTAATTGACATCGTCCAAAATGTGCCACATATAAATATTCTATTTTTGCCGCAAACAGCTGAAAGAAACGTCTGCCAGCTGCAGCATTCCTACTTAAATAGTTTTTTTCCCTTGTCTTCAGCGAAGGAGGGAACTTTTCAATTGCTTGTAAATATAACAAATTTATATTTCTAAAGTGTTTATGTGAACGAATGTTTGAAAAATTTATCTGAGACAAAACACCTCCCACAAGCCCGTGTTCAATTCATTTTTAAAGGGTTATCTGTAGAAGCGAAATTTAACTAGCAAAATAGACTAAATGTGTATATATACAAATTTTAACGGCAGAGGGAAACAGTCAGGTGTGGAGACACTTCATGATAGATGGAACAGCTGATGGATGCAGCATCTGCAGAGTTAAGGTTAGTTAGGACTCCAGCAGCAGTAAAAACCGTGAATTTCAGTGAACATTTAAATCAGAACCACAAACATTTATTGTATAGTCTTGTGATACTGCTCAAATTAAAGTAGCTTATTAAAGTTCCATTTTCTGTTTCTTTGTCTTGAATCATATTTTTGGTTATGAGAATTTGAGTTGGACTATAGCTGGAAAATGCATATCCTCAAATCACTAGAAGTTGCTTTTGAGGCTGGGAGCATTTGCACACATTTGCAATGTGTGAGGTTGTTAAAAAAAAAATAGCACCAACTAGAGGCATGGAATGTAAATTATAGCATTGTGAACATTTCTGGTAGTGATGGGTGTATGCAGATCTTAATTAAAACTTTTTCATGTCTGTGAGTTGGTTAAAGGTTAAAAATTGAAGCATGATTAACATAAATGAGTCGCACTACGAAAAAAAAGTTAACTTTCATACATCAAGCTGTACAAGCAGATTTTTGCTGTACATATTGCTATAGTGATATATTGGGATAATAATAAAGAGGAGAATAACAGTTTGTACATCTGGAAATTACCAAGGGTTTAATTTTTTTGTGTGTTTTTCATAGACTTTGCGTCTAAATCGGATGCTCTGATGGCCAGAAAGCATTGGGTCTGAAAGCACCACTACACTTTTTCAAGTTCCACCTTTGGGCCCCTAGACTTAGGTTAATGAATTCACATTGAGACATTTGGGTTTGAACATTTGTTAGGGCTGCCATTGTGTGGTGCCCGGGAAGCAGTTTGGGGTTAAGGGTCCCTGCTCAGGAACCCAGAGTTCATTTATTGTATCTCTTATTTATTTTATATCTTATACTATATCCATTGGTTGTGCTTTTCCTTTTACATCTCTCTGCATGTGATTAAGCAGACTGAAGGACTGCTCCCTTTTATCTCCTCTTTCTTTCATCTTGTCTCGCTTTTTTTTGTTTTTCCTTTCCTGTTCTACTTACATAGCAGTGTCCATATAATCTGTAAAACTCCCTGCATTAATTATAATAAAGATTTATATTCATAAATCAAGCAGAAAACTATGGCGATAGCGCTACTAATCCACTTGTGAAAGTAAAATGTGTTGGGCTCTTTTTGGCATCAAGACACTTATTCTTATTGCCACACTGCCAGACAGGACAATGTGAAAAAAAAAAAAAAAAAAAAAAAGGAACCCAGAGTGCAGCTTTGGGGAAAGGAATCGGTACTTGCAACCTTCTCAGAACACAAGCACACTGCTCTAACCACCAGGCAAACACTCCCCTGTAAACCAGTGACTCAATCCAGCTGAGGATCAGCATGTCAGCAAACATTAGAGCTCAATGCAGTGACCTGGGTATCTCAATACTTTTAAAGCAGCTTATTCTAAAAAGCTCTACACAAAGCACTAAGCAGAAGATAATAAACTGTATCATATGCTGAAAAAGAAACTGTATTAGACATGAGCTGTACCGTGAATATCTCAAGTGAGTCACTGATCTTCTCCCCGCACACATTTCAATCTGATCAGAGGAGTAGACTGACATATCCAGTGGGAAGCTCTTTTGGGCCATCAGGAGGGAGAGCAACACCTCAGGCAACACCCCGGAATCCTTGGAAGTCCTTTGAAACTCAACATAAGCTCTGAGGACACATATACACATAACATCAGTTGGTTATATAAATTCTGCAGGAAAGAAAAAAACTGTGGTTAAGTTGCTCATTTGATCTCTGGTACCTGGAACAATCGAAGGTGACAGTTTTCACCTGCCCACAAAGTCGGAACAAAGACTGAAGCTGTTTGTAGTAGAGGAAACTGTATGGAGGGAGGTTCCTGACCTAAATAAAAAGCATCATTGGATTACAAAAAAACTCAACCATTTAATCCGAGTCAACATTTAATCTCAAATTTATAAAAAAAAAACAATTTATCTTCTTCCAACACCAGCAAACAGTAAAAAAATTAAAAGCCTAAACATGCAAACAAGTTTAACTTATTAAAATTGTTTTTTTTTGTTGTTGTTTTTTTTTGTTAGAATCAATCAGTAAAATCAAATCTCTAATTTTCAGATGTGAAACTGACATAATCCCTGAAAACTAAACATCAATACCATCACTGTTGTTCTGGGGTTCAGGCCATTGAGCTCTTTGCAGGCCAGCCGTTCATCCGTTTCCTGCTGGAAGAAGTAGTTTGGGTAGAAGGCTCCTGCGACGACAACCTAAATAACAACAACCTTTTAGAGATAATGCTGATTTGAAAGTATGTGAATACCTTTGTTTCATAACAGCATATCCAGCATACCAATTATAATTTTAGTCAGAGAAATCATATGTTTAGTGTAGAGAGGACTGACCTGAAGGATGAACTTCTGCCGGTGGGTGCTGGTGTTGTCAAGCGACTGTGGGTCCTCCGGGACATGCATGTTAAACAATGCAACACGCTTCTTCAGGTCCTCATACAACTCTGCAGCCTAGACAAAGTACAGAGGAAAAACACTATCCAATAAATGACACCACCCAGTTATTGTATGGTTCGTTAGGTTTCAGCAAGCAACAAGTTGTTTAACCTAAACTGATGCAGTGAGCAACATATTGCTTTAACACTGACAAAAGCTATGTTTCAATACTGAACGTATGAGCATTAGGGCTGCAACTAGGGATTATTTTGCAAATTGATAAATCTGTTGATTATTTTTTAGATTAATCGATTAATAATCGGATAGCCAAGGTTCCTTTTACAAAATTAAACCAGGTGAAACAAAAACGCTTCCACTTGACGAGTTCTGGATACAGCTTATTACAGCTAAAGGCATATTTACAGTCTCTATACTTTACATTAAATGATTAATAGATTACTAAATTGGTTGGCGATTATTTCAATCATCGATAAATCACGATTAATCCGATTAATTGTTGAGCATATCTACACCCACAATGTGATCGAAACTAAAGGGTTTGAAACCAAACAGCTGAGAAGCTTTAAGAAAGAACTAATCCTTGATCTGGAGATATAAAAATGGATTTTTAAGCAATACAATAACAAGAGGTTTAAGAGTGAGCATCGGGGTAAGTCAACTACTGTGTAGTCTATATAACTTTTACTTATTTATAAAGTCAGTACATCTCTGCAGTGCAATTGCAATAATCCAAGTCAACTACTCTGTAGTCTTTCCTTATCTTTCTACTATGGGGATGTTTTTATATCTAAAGGAAACATATTACAGGACATTACAACTTTCTTATACTCTTTTGTACTATATAAACTCTTTTTTTATTGTCTGTTGTATTTCACCTTCAATGGCATCTTGTTTAACTCTTTGTATTCTATAAGCTACTGGAATCAGAATTTCCTTGAAGGAGTAATCCAAAGGGATAAATAAAGTTGAGTCTATATCAACAAGAACTTTAAGTGATGGATTACTAACTTATATGGCTACCATAGAAGGTTGTTCAGGCAAAAGCTTTGCTCTGGGTGTTGCTTCAATCATGTCCAGGTTCAGCAACATCCTGAGCCCAAAGTACTGCCTGATTATAGTGAATAATGAAGTTATTCCGTCAATGAATTACTTCTCCCATACTGAATAGACAATCCCAAAGAAGACGATACCAGATTTAAGTGGCTCTATGATTGTGCAAGAGTGGGTGAAGGAGAATGAAACATTTACACACAGATTGCTAAGACCTCAACCTCACTTACAATTAAGTTGCTGTGTTGTAAAAGACGTTCAGAAGGGCTCCAACCCTCCAATCACCAAAGATATTTAAGAGAAGCTTTATTGCAAAAGCCCAATAAAACAATGTCACAATAAATGGCATCACTATGAAGACTTAATGTGTCACATGTATTTTTAGTCAGTTTTCTTTTTGATAAGTGTCTGGTCTCTGAGGTTGGAAGACTGTCCTAATACCAATGTCCTAACATGAAGCTAAAGCAGGCCTGCATCCTGGAGCCAAAAAGATAATTTAAATCATATTTTTTTTAGACCGATCTGTTATACGTCACACCATTTAAGCACTTGAGCCGATCACCAGAAGTTGGGTTAAAACAAATTTGTTGTAAGAAGAACCCGCTTAAAGCAATAATCGGTCTCCGTCAGTCACGTGACATTTGTTGCTAAGACGCCATTTTTGGTGGAAAAGGCGTAGTTTAAACAACCGCAGCATAGCTAAACGAAGGACTAAAGGATTGAGTTTGTTTCTCTGACTATATGGAAAAAAGTAAGCATAATGCGAAATTACCGTACCGATGTCGTGCCAAGGTAGTTATCCCTGCGAAAATTTGTATCCCCTCGTCGGGAGCGCGCACGGAGTAGGAAGAACAGCCCGAGTTAAGTCCGCTTCAATTCCAACGTGCAGAACTTGAAATTTGAAAGGTTGTACGTGTATGAAAGTTGAGCTTTACTGTTTTATTCTTTTACTTCACATGTTTTAGCAGAATATCGCCAGTGATATTGATCTAAAACTAATAATAAAACACAAACGTTTGCTTGAAAGCTGGTCGCTGACAGCAGTGTCTACTTCTCCCTCTGAAAGCAAACAGATCCTTGTTCTTTTTCACACGTTCCTTAAAAAAAATCTCTCTTTGTTTCACAGTGTCCAAATGTTCTCATCCCATTGAAAACTGTTGTAAACCGTATACTTGTAATAAAAATTAAATAGAAAATGGACTGCACGTGTAATCATTAAAGACTATATGCAGAAGGAAAATATTTTTTTCCTGGTTGAAATTTAGTACTTAAATCTATATTTGTGTTTATAGTAACGTACAATTTATCTATGTTGTACTATCCTTTATAAACAGTTTGTCTTCTAACATCAGCCGTTTTATTTCATCCCATTTTGCCACAATTGGCAGGATGGGATGAAATAAAACCTGCTGTAATCTGTTCCCCCCTGTCTAAATCAGGAAAAAAAGGTCCCAGCTTTTTCATTTTTGGCATCATAAAAGATGTTTATAAGCCAAAAATGAAAAAGCTGGGGCCTTTTTTGCCTGATTTAGACAGGGGGAACAGATTATAGCAGGTGGCCTGCTATAATTTGTTCCACCCTTATAACTTTAAGAAATAAAGGTCCATCACATCCAAAGTTTCAGGGGTTAGTTGTCATCATAACAGATGTTTATAAGCCAAAAATGAAAAAGCTGGGACCTTTTTTGCCTGATTTAGAAAGGGGGAACAGATTATAGCAGGTGGCCTGCTATAATTTGTTCCCCCTTTGTAACTTTAAGAAATAAAGGTCCATCACATCCAAAGTTTCAGGGGTTAGTTGTCATCATAACAGATGTTTATAAGCCAAAAATGAAAAAGCTGGGGCCTTTTTTGCCTGATTTAGACAGGGGGAACAGATTATAGCAGGTGGCCTGCTATAATTTGTTCCACCCTTATAACTTTAAGAAATAAAGGTCCATCACATCCAAGGTTTCAGGGGTTAGTTGTCATCATAACAGATGTTTATAAGCCAAAAATGAAAAAGCTGGGACCTTTTTTGCCTGATTTAGAAAGGGGGAACAGATTATAGCAGGTGGCCTGCTATAATTTGTTCCCCCCTTGTAACTTTAAGAAATAAAGGTCCATCACATCCAAAGTTTCAGGGGTTAGTTGTCATCATAACAGATGTTTATAAGCCAAAAATGAAAAAGCTGGGACCTTTTTTGCCTGATTTAGAAAGGGGGAACAGATTATAGCAGGTGGCCTGCTATAATTTGTTCTCCCTTTGTAACTTTAAGAAATAAAGGTCCATCACATCCAAAGTTTCAGGAGTTAGTTGTCATCATAACAGATGTTTATAAGCCAAAAATGAAAAATCTTTGGCCTTTTTTGCCTGATTTAGACAGGGAGAACAGACTATAGCAGGTGGCCTGCTATAGTTTGTTCCCCCCTTATAACTTTTAGAAATGAAGGTCAATCACATCCAAAGTTTCAGGAGTTAGTTGTCATCATAACAGATGTTTATAAGCCAAAAATGAAAAAGCTGGGACCTTTTTTGCCTGATTTAGAAAGGGGGAACAGATTATAGCAGGTGGCCTGCTATAATTTGTTCCCCCTTTGTAACTTTAAGAAATAAAGGTCCATCACATCCAAAGTTTCAGAAGTTAGTTGTCATCATAACAGATGTTTATAAGCCAAAAATGAAAAAGCTGGGACCTTTTTTGCCTGATTTAGAAAGGGGGAACAGATTATAGCAGGTGGCCTGCTATAATTTGTTCCCCCTTTGTAACTTTAAGAAATAAAGGTCCATCACATCCAAAGTTTCAGGAGTTAGTTGTCATCATAAAAGATGTTTATAAGCCAAAAATGAAAAAGCTGGGGCCTTTTTTGTCTGATTTAGACAGGGGGAACAGATTACAGCAGGTTTTATTTCATCCCATCCTGCCAATTGTGGCAAAATGGGATGAAATAAAACGGCTGATGTTAGAAGACAAACTGTTTATAAAGGATAGTACAACATAGATAAATTGTACATTACTATAAACACAGATATAGATTTAAGTACTAAATTTCAACCAGGAAAAAATTATTTTCCTTCTGCATATAGTCTTTAATGATTACACGTGCACTCCATTTTCTATTTCATTTTTATTACAAGTATACGGTTTACAACAGTTTTCAATGGGATGAGAACATTTGGACACTGTGAAACAAAGAGAGATTTTTTAAATGAACGTGTGAAAAAGAACAAGGATCTGTTTGCTTTCAGAGGGAGAAGTAGACACTGCTGTCAGCTACCAGCTTTCAAGCAAACGTTTGTGTTTTATTTTTAGTTTTAGATCAATATCACTGGATATTCTGCTATAACACGTGAAGTAAAAAATAAAACAGTAAAGCTCAACTTTCATACACGTACAACCTTTCAAATTTCAAGTTCTGCACGTTGGAATTGAAGCGGACTTAACTCGGGCTGTTCTTCCTACTCCGTGCGCGCTCCCGACGAGGGGATACAAATTTTCGCAGGGATAACTACCTTGGCACGACACCGGGACTGGCAGCCTCTCACACAACACGATCGTGTCATTTCTGGTAAATAATTGTGCCGAAAGAACAGCCGCGTGTGGCTTATCTCGACTTTCCACCTAATATGGTGTTTTTCCCACGATGCACCGCGCCCGAGGTAAACAATTGACGTCACTTGGCGGAGACCGATTCAGCCAAAACGTAATAGCACAAAACATGATGTTAAACGTTTTCCCCAATCTTCCAGAAATTACTTTTCCAGAAATTACTTTTAAAAAGACAAAATATTCACTTATTCCATTTATTATATATTCTGTTCTTAAAGAAAATGTATTCATTAGAAAATAGTTTTAGCCCGGAAAATTTTTTTTGCTCTTACTGCGGGTCTTGAGTAGCCTGCTAAACCAGACTAAATGTGACATTAAATGTGTAATTTAGTCTGGCCCCGATGAATGAGACATCGGAAGATAGTTGATGAGAACAACCCGTCCTCTTTTAAACCATGTTTGTGCCTATTGGCCAACGCTCGGACCAATGAGTGCAACTGACTGTGACGTAGTAAGCGCAACAGAAAGCTGGTGTGAGTGTGTGTGTGTGTGTGTGTGTGGGGTGGGTCCGGGTTGGGGTGTCCGGGTTGGGATGTAAACAAACAGCCTGTCAGTAAAACAGCGAATACGTCCTTCTTAAAAATGACTGAGCCTAGAGCAGTGGTTCTCAAACTTTTTCTGTCATTCCCCACTTTGGACAAGGGGGAATTTTCAAGCCCCGCCTGTCCCCATCGCCCCAACACAATGCTAATGAAATATGCAACAATCTTAAAATGTTCCAATTTTATTGAAGTAACAAGTAGTATCTAAATACAAACTATCTACATAAAATAACAGCAAGCTCAAAAATAAAGAAAATAAAAATGCAGCTGTGTCAAAATTTGTATCAAGCTCAAAGATAGAAAAAATTAAAGTGCCACTCTGCAATCTGTTAATAAAAGAAAAGAAGTGAAATCCATCTGGCAATACAGGTCTATTTATCCCTGCATTAGTGGCTGCAATGAGCCTGTTTTGCATTGCACAGTTTCTCAAAACGGGGTTGCAGGCTTGATACTGCCACTCTCAAGTCATGCTCAATGTTCAGCTGAGATCTGTATTTTGTTTTCAGTGAAGCAACAGCTGAAAAGCCCATCTCAAAGAGATATGATGTGGCAAAGGGAAGAAGAATGCACACAGCTCTCTGCCCGATGAGTGGATACTCCCTCTCCACTCCAAACCAGAATTTACTATGAGTCTGAGCATTAAACCTGAGCTTCAGGGTGGAGTCAGACGTCATTTCAATAAACTGGTCCTATTTATTTAAGATAAAATATTTCAAATTCAGTTAATTATGATCAACCTGCGCCGCCAATCCCGGCGCATGTGCGCTTTATTTGCAGTCTGGACGCTGAGGGTAAACATGCTGTGTCTCTGACTGCAGCGCTGAGAGGGACTCCTGCGATAGCGGGGGAGAACGGGGTTGGGATGGGGGAGGCGCCCCACGGCAGCACCTGCCGCTGGAGGACAAGAAAAGGAACGATACGTGCTTTCACGTAAGAGTCTCCAAAAGTCGCTAATTTGTCGCTAGTCGCTTTTTTGACAAAGAGTCGCTGGAGGGGTCTGAAATATAGCGACAAAGTCGCTGAGTTGGCAACACTGGGGCACGAAAGTTTATTCCGTTACAAATAATATGCCGACGTCACGTCAATCATTATTTTGGCACTTCAGTTCCAGGTGAAATTTTTCTCATATCTAATGTTCTTTTAATTAGACTGCATGTAGGCTAGTAATGATTACTTTGTGGGTTTGATTGGTCTAAAAAGCGGCAACATACAGCTATAAGGACAGTTTGCTCTCACACGTTCTACATTTATAGTCACACACACACACACACACACCCGAACTTGGCGCGCCCCACCTGTCACGTCTCAATTCCCCACCAGTGGGTCGCGCCACACTTTGAGAAACGCGGGCCTAGAGCCTCTTCCTGCTCACGTTTCAATGAAAACCCCAAGTCTAATCCTTCCAAAACTGATTCCAAAGCTGAGTAAAACGACAACTGTTCAGTAGTTGTTGCCATCTTCCTTCTTGTGCTTTCTCCAGTGTCGTGCAGCTTTATCGTCACACCCTCAAAACACCGCCCGCTTTGCATCCAGAAATTCAAAACACATCACTGCGTTGTGATTGGCCCGCCAGTTCTAGGGCCTGGGGCATTGATCGAGGCTAGACCAACTTGCAGGCAAAAATGATTTTGGCCGTAGTCGGGTGGGGCTAGTTTACTAGGCTAGGTCTTGAGGTAAACAGACGAGGTCAGTCTCATTTTAAAACAAAACCCCTAAATATTGCCAGGATCTGCCACTCTATGACAAACATCATCATCAGCACTGAATTAACTATAAAATTGTCTCATTAAAAAGACATCACGCCTTCTGAAACTCAAGATTGAATGAGGAAGCATTTTTACTTTGATTATCAGTGTAAATGTTTGAAGATTTAATAAAGCCTTGTATAATTGAAGGAGAAATTACAGATAAGCTTGAAATAAAGATGGGTGACATTTGTTTATTTCTGTGTGCCTGCTTTGTCCCGTTTCAGCCCCATGAACCATTGAATTTCAGGATTAAGTGTAACAAAATTAGAAAAATACTCTGCATGCTGCCCAAACCTCTCTGATCCTTTTGATCTGGATGAAGTTCTCTCTTCCCCAGCTCAGCTCGTCCTGCAGGGGCATTAAAACAAAGAAAACTCACATTTAATTTTTAGGTTGCAGTATTAGCAAAAATTCTTATTGGGCAAAAAAAAAAAAAAAGTCAAGCAAATGTTTTGGGATACCGTATTTTCACGACCATAAGGCGCACCGTACTAAAAGGCGCATTTTTTATATACAGGTACATGTCCTCTACTACTTTAAATACCTCTACTGCGTATTTTAAAAATACAGCGGGCCCAAAACTGAGTATGACTGTGCTTTATTCATGTATTTATTACGAAGTATTAATCAAACCTGCGAGCTGGCCATGAGACAGACATATCGCAGATGACACAGCGCTGTGATGACTCCTAAATTAACTTGAAATCCTGAAACCTGCAGACGGAATATGTTCGCTTTTATTGCCGGTATCCTGGTGCCTGCAGTTTAGATTATTTAGATGAAAAACACCTGCCAGCCACCGCGGTGAGGCTGCTGTTGAAGGGATTTCTGCTGTCGGTGCACCGCTGGTATGTGGGGGTCTGAGCGCCTCCGACAGAAATAGATAATCTGGATGAACTGACTGCAATTAAGTTTTCAGGTGGCCTTTCTCACTTAAAAACATATTAAAACTACTTTATTCCCACTGATCACAGCAAATATAGCTGCAAGATTTAGATTATTTAGATGAAAAAACACCTGCCAGCCGCCGCGGTGAAGAGGAGGAGACCCGCCCAGAGGCTGCTGTTGAATTAAGTTTTCAGGTAGAAAAATAGAGCGGGAGCAAAACTGAGTATGTTTGTGCTTTATTCATGTATTTATTACAAAGTATTAATCGAACCCATCAAAGTCATCCTCCTCTGTTTCTGAATTAAACAGCTGCGCTAAATCAGACATGCCAATTTCCCCTTCTTCGCTGTCAGTCACTTTCCGTGCAGCGCAGCTCCTCAGAAATAATGCCGGCTTTTGCAAAAGCTTGAACAACAGAGCCAGCAGACACGTTAGTCCAAGCATCTGCAATCCATCTGCAAACGGTGGCGTAACTTGCCCAGCGCTGCCTTCCACTTATCCTGAAACTGTGGTCTCCGTCTGTCATCCTTCGCTCCCACGCCGCTCGCAGCCTTACTTTGAACGGCCGCTTCACACTGAGTGTCGAGCGGTTGAAATTCCTTTGTCAGACCCCCGGGATAACGGCGAGCACAGCATCCATTTGATTCACCTTTTTTTTCCACATCGGCTGTGAGATGGGCACGCAGCGATGGTGATGCGTGGAAAAAAGCACCTGGTCTCCTCACATACACCTGCCTTTCATCATTTCCAGCCTTTTTCATTTGCGTTAATGTCATCAGAGCGCTGTGTCTGTCTCGCTGTCAGCTCCCAGATCAGCTTCTCTGATTGGTTGATGCGGCGCGTCCAGCAGCAAAACTTCAATTTTTCCATCTCGAGCAGCAGCAGCGCGTTGGCGGTGCGGAAGATACTTAAACGCTCCCGAGGCGCTGCGGCTGCTGCTCAAAACGCGCTTTTTGCTGCACCTATACGCGCGTCAACCATTGACTTTGCATGTACACTCGCTGCTTCTGCTGCACCTGCTGGGTCCGGTTCACACCGATGTCGAGCGGTTGAACAGCGAGCACAGCGTTAATTTGTTTCCCCATGTTTTTCACATCACTTGTGAGATGGGCACGCATGGAGTCACATATTAACAGCGATGGTGATGAGTGGAAAAAAAACACCTGGTCTCCTTACATTCAGCCACTCTTTCATCATCTCCTCAATGAGGTGGTCTCAAAAGTCGCAGTTACAACACACATAAGGCGCACCGCACCAAAGGGCGCACCGCACATTTTGAGGGAAAAAAAAGACGTTTAAGTGCGCCTTATAGTCGTGAAAATACGGTATATGTTTACCTTAGGATGCCTCAGTTGTCCATTCTTTTTAGCAGAGTACCAGGCCTAAGTGCATTAAAATTATTTTTAAACACTATTGCATATTAAAATCTTGAAGATGACATGAAAGACAAGATTTATAATCACCCTGAAGGCATTAAGGATGGCTATAGAGTCACTTGGTGTACCATGGGCAAATGCCAGCTTACTCCTGAAATCACAGAATAATAACATATGTAAAGATTTAAGTGACAGAACTGCAGCATGTGAAATTAATTGGACTTGATTTTCAGATAGTCTAAAATTGTCAGTCTATGGTGCTCTCCATGTAAAAATATCTACTAGACTGCATATACATGACATTCAGATACTGTTAAATAACATGAGGAGTTGGGCACAGTGAACATAGATATTAGAAATATAGAAACTTCGCTCAAATGTTTAAAATTTGCCGATCCGGTCTTCACAGGGCCGCTATCTTGAATTTCCCTTCTAGTATCGTGTAATCTCGCTAAGCTCACATCTCGCGAGAATCCAATCCTATTGGTTATATGTCGGTGTGAAGCAGCACGGAGGGGCGCCGTTATCGGAATATGGAATATCTAATATCCCTTCGGACAATTTCATTGACGGGAACAAGGAAGTTGCGCTGTTGCAAACAAGTAAGCTTGAAACTTTGAAAAGTTTATGAAAACTCATTGGATGACTGATAATTATAGGATTATTTTGGAGGGTTTTTTTGTTCTTTGGGACAATACTGTCCATTAGTAATGGGTTCATGATCAGTGATGGGTCGATACTGTGTCACTGAATGCTGATACCTGCTGGACACTTACAATTCCTATAGGCAGCCTTTTTGACACAGATTTGATGACCTATAATATGATTTAAACTATTGTTTGCTATAATGCATTACTTTATATCTATAGTTTGAATTTAAAATGTTTGATATTTTTAGATTCAATCCATAAATGTGATCATACAACGGCAACATTTAAGTGAACAAGTGAATAAGGATGTTTCTGGACTAGGATTTATCAATTTAATTGTTTTTCAGCATAACTGATGAGGAGTTTGTGAATTTGGGGAAAATTAAAAGAGTAAACAATGGGAGAACTACAGAGAGAGCAATCTTCAGCTTCTTCAAGAGCAATTAGGTAAGAAATGTGACTTTTGTGTTAAATATTAACAACATTGGATTAGTAATCACTGGTTTCAACCTGAAATTAATGGGAATCTCCAGCAATATTAATTTAAAGTAAGGTATACATTTAGAACTCTTACTGTCTTTGTTGCTTTTTTTTCAAAATGTACTAGATACTATTCTTTTGTGTGTTTGAAAGAATTTAATGCCAACGCTGACATTTATCAATTCCAAAACCAGCAGGGATTATAATCCAAATTGGCCACCCCATGCCTATTGTTTCCTATCAGGAAGGACAATTGACTTTTAACCCTATGAAGCCACCGCACAAAGCCTGAAGTTTTGGTACACCAAGGTGTACACCCTATCAGATATTCCTAGTTAAAAGCCTGTTGAGACACGTGAGCTTTAGTATCTTTGCTGTGCCACAGTTTAATTTTGGTTGCAGAATGTGCCATTAGTAACCGCTTGATGTGGCTTACCTGTGACCGGCAAGCTGCTGCATGGCTGGGATGGCAAAGAAGGTTCTCAGAGAGTGTGACGCAGCTGAAAATAAAGACCAACCAATGTGTAAAGAAAAAGCTTAATAATATAAGCAATAAATACACATTCGTAATGGAGATGTAGCGACTACAGAACATATTTCCCATTCAGCCACCAGGTCTTCTTCAGAAATAGGAGAGGCTGCTTAAGAGTCCAAGATGCTGATTTAACCAGCCGATGGTGGGTAAACTGATGCAACTCCAGTTAATCTACAGTACAGTCCAATCGTTGTATTTATTTAAATACTAATTTATTGCCCATTTATTTCACCAATTCCTGTCGTTTGGCACTTTAATAATTGCCTGCTGCTTTTAAAATGCTTTACAAAAAAAAGTTGCTTTGCCTTTGGAAAATAGCCGTATACAAAGTTATAAAGGGGAGGAAAAAAAATGACACCAAAAATATGCTGCTTTTTGAAATGAAAAAGATCAAAAAGAAGCTATTTTAATACATAACTGTATGTAAAAAACATGACTATGGTAGTTTTATACAACTTTTTAAGAGATAGACTAGATGGACAGACTTTATGAGGCATCTTTAAAATATTGTCACTCTGTCCATTAAGTTCTTTCAGAGGGGGAAAAAAGAAATGCATTAAGAAAAACCATAAGAGAGAGCATCTCCCTGAAGCCACACAGCACTCAGCACTGTCTTTGAGCTGAAAATAAAAAGGTTAAAGCTTTGCATTCAATAACAACGACCCACTCTTCTTTAAGATGGCGTCATTACATCATCCAGATGATTAAAAAAAAGGTTCAAACTTTTTTTTTTTTAGAAAGCTACACTTGCGTCGAAAAGTATTCATAACCTTTAGCTTAGCCTAGACTTACTTCAGCATAGAGTAAAATGCAAAAAACTGAAATCTAAATAAGTGTTTTTTTTCTTAAAATAAGTGGATTTTTTCTTATATTGAGGAGGTAAGAGAGACGCTTTGAAAATGGAACAAGACATTTACACTTAAAATAAGAAAAAAAAAACAATTGCATTGTATTATTTCAAGTGCATGTTATCTGATTATCTTATTTTAAGAGAATAAATACTCATTCCATTGGCAGATCATCTTATGTACCTACTCAAATGAAGAGTAAATACTCTTAAATTAATACAAGTTTAAGTATTTCTAGATCCTTTTTGCAGTGTAAGCAGACGGATGGAAATTACCCAGTAGATAGATCTTTTGAGGCGGTGGATTTTAGATGCCCCCTTAACAGCAGAGGAGTAGAGTGTGATGACTCGCTACAAAGGAATCTGTTAGAATGGGTTGTATTTCTACCCAAACACAGGGCATTATGCCTCTAGCAGCATGACTGTACTAATAGCCACCATTCAAATATCTCACATTAAAATGTAAAAACAAAATAATTACATATTTAATACAATTAAAATAGAACACGCAGGTCCAGATTTTTTTAACTTTCAAAGTTGATTTTTGGGTGAGCATAATATAATGTTTTACCCAGGGAAATTTCAAAATGGTATCTGGCTAAGCACTCTGCAGAGGGAGCTAAACAATAGTGATGGGAAGGTCTTCTAATTTTTAAAAGCTATACCACAAAAAAGTAATTAAAATACAAGTTGAAACAAGCAAAAAGCTTGACAGCTGCAATTTCAAAGAATACTTTCAAATCTTTATTTTTTATTTACCTAATCATCAAGATAGTATTTTCTTTTAATTGTAAATAAAACAACTTTATTAGATTTTAAGACACACTATTACTTTCAACAATAATTTCTTTGTGAAATAAATTATATTCTTATTCAATGTCATTTTAAGATAATTTTCACCTTTAGTTTAATACAAAATGTTAAGTTTCATTTAGGGCTGGACAATATAGAAAAAAAGCTTATCGATAAAAAAAAAATGCATATTGATCGATATAAGATTTGAAACCATATTTTATGTCAAAAAGTTGGTTGTGTTATCAGACTTCGTTTTCACTGGTTCCCTACACATTTTACAGATGACTGTGGTTTGTTTTTTGTCCGACTTGCCATGACCGAAATACTGCCAAACTGGTGAACTACAAAAACCTTTCTTTGGAACAATTTCTTCCGCCTCTCCTTGCTGCGACATCTTCATGTGCTCTGTGTTGTGGTTTGAGAGGGAGGCGCTTTGTGAAGGCGTGCCTGGGTCCGCGATTGCGATTAGTTGGGAGGAAGTAGTGACTAGCATAAACCTACCTGATAGGCTACAATGAGAAGGAAGGAAAACTGCGTTTCTTTATCGAACTTTTATCCACCCTCTTTTTTTCTATTGCGCCACACGTCTATCGATCGATATATATCGTTATTGAATTATCGCCCAGCCCTAGTTTCATTTGATACATTCAATAGGAAAACATAACTTATTAATCCCAAAGGGAAATTGATTGATTGTTCTTAAGTGCATGGAGAGCTGGGCTTTTAGATCCAAGTTACCTAATTTTCTAACAGTATAAAATGTTAATACCAGACTATAAATGAAACATTGTCAAAACGAGGACTAATACAAACCCAGTACACATTTACAATTTTTCAAAGGAATCTTATTCAACAACTAACTGCGCCATACTGGTTGACTGACCTATGATGAGACATTCATCCAGACAGCCAAAGACATGACCCAGGACAATCATCTTTCCTAGGTAAAGGTCCACAGGAAGGCTGGCAATCACTCGGCCAAGAAATGTCAGCTCACCATCCTGGCTCTGACTTCCTCCATCCGCTTTTGCAGACAGTGCACCCATCTGAAGAATTAAACACCCAAACAGCATAAAATGTGCACCATAATATGCCATGTTAGAAATGTTTACAAATGCTAAGAGCTCTGATTAATCGTGCAACAAGAATATACATTTCACCTTGCAAAAAAACATTACAGCGATTCCTCAACACACTGGACCATTACTTTTGCCAAATCATCAACAGGCATTTGTACAAACTTCCCTTACACCTGTGCTCTAGTGAAACCCCTGCTTCACTTGCCTCTATGAGTTGGAGCACTGTCCTGACAATATCAGAGAGGTTGGGCGGTGAGAGCGCTTTAGAGAGAAGGGTGAGAGGGTCTCCCATGTCCAGCAGCTTGACTTTTAACAGGATGTTTGACAGAGGAGCAAGCTAAAGAAAGAAACAACATGCCGGTTAAAGACAGCTTCTTGAAGCATTTAAAGCAAAAAGGTTTGTCTCTCTCTTACCTGCATCCCAGGAGTCATATATTCTGGGATTTCATTTCTCCAAAAATGTTTGGTCACAAGACGGTAGCAGTAACCTTTTGACACACGGCCGGCCCTACCTGTTTGGAACATATTTAATATGAGAAATCTGTAGTCAGCAGGACTTTGCTTTGCTGAAATATCATCAGTGTCAGCTTTTTGTTTCTGAGGATGTGCTCTCAATGGCATGACCTGACACTGAAGCACTGACACTACTAGTAGGGTGACCATATTTTCATTTGGGAAAACCAGGACACCTTGGCGCGGTGGGGGGTTTGAAAGAACAAATGTCTCATCATCGGGATTTGCTCCGTGATCAGAGGAAATGTTACTTGGCGCAGAACAGTGGTGAAAATTGGAAGTTCAGTTTAATATAATACAACTCTGTGAATAGTTCAGTCTGAAATGAATGAAAATAGTTGTTTTAATGGTTATTGAGTCAGATATGTGGCGGTGATGTTTGATTTATCTAAAGGTTTTTATCTGTTACTGTGTAAATGGGTTTGGCTGTAATTTAAGGACAGATTCTAATAGATCTGCAGAGTGGGAACTATAAATCTGATAGGAGTTTAATTTTTTTATTTTTGTTTTGCACAATATGCTTAACTAAGTATTTTTTGTTGTTGAATATTAGAGATTTTGCAGATATATTTTTATACATACATTGTTTAGATTTACTTATGTATTTCTAACCCTTTTATAGTATAGAAAATCCCTTTACTGTCCCACAATGGGCAAATTTACAGCAGCAGAAAGATTATTGAAAATGGTCACACAAATGAGGACCTTAGAAAAATGTCTAAGAATAACATAATAGGGAAGAGTTAAAATATAAACAATACAATTCTGTAAAGTGTTTTAACAATTTAAAACTGGAGAATTAATAGCCAATATGCAGCTATGGACATTTTTACAGTAATGGATATTTGAAAATAGCAGCAACATCAGAGATGTGCAAAATGACAGCAGCATGTTATTTAACTGACTAAGGTTTCTATCATTACATTTGATTTTATTTGTTCCTGCTACCAGTGGTTGGAACCTTTATTCCACTCTGGATTCTTGTGAGTGTAGTCTTTGTTCGCTTTAACTTTAAAAAAAATAAATAAATAAACAAACAGTTTTGAAAACCTCGGTATTCATTCTTTTCCTGCTTTGTGTGTCAACTTTCACGGTTGCTAAGCAACAGAGCATACGCGTAAAACCCGCCGAAGGGTGGACCTGTTCGAATTTACAGACAAAACTCTTCTGGCCTCCTTATTTTCAAGGACTTCGAAGGATCCAGTCTAGGTAGACCGCGTCCTTGGAGGATGCAGCCCAGGTTTTTGAACAGAGCCTCTGATTAAGAACAGGGCTGCCCGCACTGACGCGGCTCAGGGATTACGTCACACGGAGCGTTGTGCGCAGTGAAATCAGGACATTTCCTCACTTTCTAAAAAAAAAAACCCGGGACGCCCGGGACAGGACGTGAAATACGGATATGTCCCGGGAAATACGGACGTTTGGTCACCCTAACTACTAGTAGCTTTCTGTTTACAGTCCAAAATCTATAATAATATGCTTGTCAAGATGAATTGTTATTTTAAATGGATAGTAGGTTCTTAATTAGGTTTTAGAAATGTTAAGCCAGTTCTTTGTGAGTCAAACAAAAAAAGAACTTTTATTAGCCTTAAATTAGCATGCAATTCACAGCTTTAGTAAGCTTTTTTGAGAAATGTTGTTCATATCTGATCATCATTTGGTTCCAATATGAAATGCTTAGACCTCCATAACAGAAAAAGTTAACAGACAAAAAAAGATGGCTTGTAGCGAAAAAAAAAATCCCCCCAAACCCTTAATTTAAGTTGTGAAAACATTAAATTGTATGATTTTGCTGCTATGCATATCATTTAGACCAATTGATTATTCTACATATTATTCAACATTCTTTAGAATGTTTTTTTTTTTCCCCCGGTCTGTGAAAATATCAATAGGACACACTAGAGAGACTTTGTCTCCTGGCTAACATGGGTGCCCCACAAGCTTCCCCCAACAGAGCTGGAGAAGGCGTCTGGGGACGTAGAAGTCTGTGAGTCTCTGCTACCAGATGCCTGGTAAGCCTCAGGCCGCAAACACACGTTTTAACTCCCCCACCCTCTCTGCTTCACTCATGCCCCACCTCCAAGCTCCACCCCTGTCACAGCATTTGCGCGGCTACAGCATGCGACCAGAAGGGGGGGGGGGGGGGGGGGGGGGGGGGGGGGGCGATTCAGTGTGTGTGAGCTGTGATTGACACTCCATCAGACGCTCCTCTGGCTGTGATTGGTTGTTTTGACTCGTCCCGAATTATTCTTTCCAGATTGAAATACAGGCAGTAGGCGGTACCAATTGAAGCAGTTTTTTTCACAGGTTACATATCACATGTACTGCTGCTGGGCATAGGGACAGTTTTAGCCAATATGACAAAAAAGTGATTTTTAAAAACTTACAGACTTCAGCTTTAAGAGTAGTAAATGAGTGTCTCACAATGGGAATGCCATAGATAGGGCCCTATAAAATCCGTTTTATTTTTTCCCAAATACCGTTTTTTCCATTTTAATTTTTGAAAATTCCGTTTTAATTTTTGCGAATTCATTTTTTTTACCCTTTACTGTTATTTCAGTCGTAAAAAGAATGTGCTTTTAATGTTGATTAAAATGTACACAAATAAAATAGGAATGACCATACATTTATTGAGGTAAAAAACACATTTACTCAGTACTTTTACTGCATGATGCAACCAGAGGCGGATCTAGGGGGTGGCTACTTGGGCTTCAGCCCCTGATGTTTCCCCAAAAGCCCCGGATCCTCGCTTTTGAGCTGATCTGAGTAAAATGTGAAGTACTGGAATTCACCAGATGGTGGCAGCATGTGCAGGAAAGCAGCCTGTAGCATTGCCACGCAGAAGAAGTGTTTCCCTCTCGTCATTGCCAGCTTCAGGAGTCGTGCACCTCCGCGCAGCAAATTTAAACAGGGATAGGCCAGTGGCGGATATCAATGGATATCAGAAGCTTTTTTTAAAAGCAAACAGCTGGACTACCAGCACCACCACCAGTTGTTGCTAAACAGACTGATGTCCCAGGTATGTGAAGCTTTGACTGAATCAGAGCCTTTTTTTCTGAAGATGGAAAAAGATGGAAAAAAGGAGTCAACATCTGCACCCTCAGGGCTAAGCCCCTGATCTCCTAGAATCCTAGATCCGCCCCTGGATGCAACATAACACTGCACTCTAAGTACTAACAAAATATTAATGGTTATGAACCAATGGTTATAAATAAAAGTGTTCCATTAGCTTTTTCAAGTAAAAAAATAAAATAGGACCTCTCAATTTCAGAATTATAAAGTATTTCATAAAGAATCATATTTTCCATACAGTACATTAAAGTACATAAAAAACAAGGCAAAATACAGTTTCTCAACTTTTTCGCCGAAAGCGGAGCTGTGGAGAGCCGCTTCGCCATTTTTTCAATGTTTTGATGGGGGAGGGTGAGCGGAAATTACGTAGCGGGAGGGGGTGTGTCGCCCAGATTTGTGTCCCCCGGTGTGCATTTCCCCCCGACATACGTTCTTCTCCCACACAAAAACAGAATTTCATGTCAAATGTAGAAATTCTGCGTTTACACTCAATTCCGCGTTAATTTGCCAATTCCGCAATACCGTCCCCGATTCCGTGATCGCGGAAATTATAGGGCCCTGCATAGATATGACCTCACAAAAAGTTCCTATTTGAACCTGAACTCTTCAAAATCATGACTGTGAGAGTAGAGGAATTTAAACCACCATGACAATTTAAAAAAGTCAAACCCAAAACTAAATTTACATCACATTTTTTAAATCACTTTACTGCTGGAAAAAGTGTTATGTTAGTATTTTGTTCCTATTTTCTTAAAATGTTCTATCTTATTTATCCGACATTGTACATTGTTTCTTTAGAGCTTAACACGCTGTAACAGTCCTAGATGTGTGCTGAAGATGCTTCACCTTTGCGCTGATTGCAGTTGCTTTTGGATGCCCAGGTCAGACGCAGACACTGATAATTAGTTTCCTTGTCATACACCAGCTGACGTGCTAAGCAGAAGTCAATAACTGGGGGAATAAGACATAAATCTGTTACATTTAAACTATAAACTATTCTAAACAAGCTACAATTTGTATTAAAGTTAAACAAAAAAAACAACCGTATTTGACGTCCGGCACAGTCACTGAACTCTCAGAAATGTTGGTTGAGAGGATCACCTGACATGGGAAAGATATGAACAGAACATTTAAATACAGGGATTACACTTGATTGGATTTTAAAGATAAAATGGACAGAAATAGCTAGTTCATTCCCTTATCGACAGTAACTACCGCAACAATGACAAAGAACACCATAACCATATATTATATCAGTTACAAACGTAGCTGATATAATACAGAGGTTCCCAAAATGGGGGTCAGAACCTCCTGAGGGGCCATGAGAGACCAAGTGACAGATCTAAACAGGACTTTCTTAATCACTGCTATCTGAGGGGTCAAAATATATCATGAAATACATCCATGAGAATGTTCCATGAAGTACATAAATGTACCATTGAAACAGCAGATATATTTATGTAACACATGGTTTAAACAAATATTAAACATACCATTCAAAGTGTTGTACATTATTCTGCAGTTTAAACCATGAGCAAAGAGAACAGTTTAGTTTGAACTGTAAGCCCCTCCCCTAACCTTTTTTGCAAAGCTCTCCACCCCAATAAATAAAAAAAATAAATAAGCTGAACTTTATTGATCACACAATGGAGAAATTTACTCTCGGCATTTAACCCATACCCTTTGGTCAGCAGTGGGCTGCCACTGTGCAGCGTCCGGGTAGCAATCAGGGGTTAAGGGTGCTTAGAGACCCAGAGTGGCAGTCTGTGGGTTTCGCACTCACAACCTCAGGATTCCAAGCCCTATGCCCTAACCACTAGGCCAATATACTGCTCCCTACCTATGTTTCTTCTGCTGTGACCCTTTTTAGGCTGTTTTGTTGAAAATATAGTAACAGACACCAGAGGGATTCACAACTCTCCCCTTCATTGACCACCATACTTCTCAGTTAACAAAACGTGACCAAACTTAGTAATGGGGAATCATTAGGATCGTTTTTGGCCTGCAATACCCAATATCGGCCTATAGCTCTGAAAAGGGAACCGTTAGGGTCATTGATGGTCTGGCTGACCAGGTGAGATGTTTTGGTCCCCTGCATAGCAATGGGGGTTCATGGTTGGGAAGTAAAACGTCTTCAAACTTAGAAAACAAAGTCCAGTGGTTTGTTTTTTAACATTTTTAACTTTTTTGAAATGACTATGACCGGGATGACTGAGAAGCTTCACCAGCATAGTCAATTAGTTCAGTGATTCGTCTTCTAAATTATAATATGAGATATGCATGTTATAAAACAATAAAATACAGAAAACTAGGAATACATTGATAGATAAAGCTAGATAGAAGTCTATTGAAATACAAGTTAAAAATAACATTAAATCTTTAGTTGTGCCTATGCAGGATTTATTATTAAACAATAAAAACTGTCCATTAAAGCAGTAGATATAATGCATGTAAAAAATATCTAATAGAGTAATTTCCCGTTTCATAAGAAACTAGTGAAATAAGCAGCTTCAACCTTCCTGTATCCAGGGACAGGAGAAATAAACACGCCATTCTGCTCTTCCAGGGTCACACTTGAATGAAGAGGATAAACCTGCAATCTGAGACACAGTCAAACATATATGACATAATTACATTACATATGAAAATATATTGTAACTCCATGAAAAAAAATTTTCAGTTCAATAAAAAGGTCTCATTTTTTAGAGCACAAACAACAGTGAGGCTTTTATTCTCTTTCTCTTAATAACAATAATACATTTTATTTATAATGCACATTACATTTCAAATAAAATCTCAGTGTATATAGTGTAATAGGGGGTTAAAGGCAGTTCCCAAAGTATGATAAAAACAAAAACACAATAAAAGTAAAACTGAAACCATAAGAAGGCTGTTTGATATAAAAATGTCTTCAGGTGATTTTTGAACATCTCTACAGTTTGTGGGGCTCTCAAGGTCTGTGGGAGGGCATTCCATAGACGTGGGATCAGAATCAGGATCTATTCATGTTTTAATGTAAAAAAATAAAAATATATACTCCTTTAACACAACAAAATATATAAATATAGAAGCTTACCTTTGGTGAACGAGCTTGGACAATGCCTCCTGCATGCAGCGAATCTCTTGTAAACCAGGAAGGAAAACCAGAACACTTCCTCTCTCTGACAAAGTCATCCGACCATCTGCCTCAGCTTTGCTAATCACAGAGTTGAACCATCAGTAAAAATTGCATGTTCTGATTAGAAAAGTTATCTTAGCAAAAGCTTGATAACTAAACCAACCTGAAATCTTTCCCCTCCATCTCATCAAAGCTGTGGATTAGATTGATGGCAAGATCGTACATCTTGAGAGGGATATGCGGGTCATCAGGATTAGGCAGCTCGAACTGATTTCATAATGCAAACTTCACGTTAGCAGCTTGAACAACGAGGAAATAAGTATGTAACAATTGTGTCTAAAGCTCTTTACCCCGTGAGGGTGAAGCTTTTGAATGTCTTCGATGTAAAACTCTTCTGTGGCGTACGGAGTTCCCTCTACTTCAAACACGTAAGCAGGGCTCATCTTGCCCCGTATCAGCGTGGCAAAGTATCTAGCAAACTCATCGCAGTTGATGGTGGCTGACATAAGGATTATCTGCCCAAAACAAATTTGCTCATATGGATAAAGGAGGTGACACATAAGGAAGACAAAGCAGATATGTTTCCTACTTGCTCTAATTACCTTAACATGACGAGAGTTGGAATGAAGGAGTTTTCTCAACACCAACAAGAGAAAGTCCATCTCCTCAGTGCGCTCATGAACCTTAATCAAAACCAGAGAAAGGGAGAGGTTAGGCTTTAGGCCAATAACAGTTTACAGTAAGACCTATTATGGTCAGGTTTGAAAGCACCCAGTAAAACAAACTTAAAAAGTAAGGATATGTTACTTCTACTTGGGTAGAACTAGATTCTTATAATTTAAGTGTGAATTCAGAATCTGTAAGAAATTACAGACAGAGATGAAAAAGAAATCAGCTCTAAAAATTAAGATTAAAATCTAGGATGATGTTAGGAATTTTGTCCAGGTGTAATGGCATCATTTAATCCAGTGTTGGGGAACCAGCTCGAAGGCAGACACAATCTTTTGAATTATGGGCAATGGTAAGACTTGCGACAATCAGTGTGCTTTAATCATCAGGCCGATATATTTATGTCCTTTAAAGAGCTACAAGCAAAATTTAAGCTTAGCGATAAACATTTCTTTCAGTATTTACAACTGAGAATCTTTCTGAAATCTAACTTAAGCAACCTTAATAAGCCTAAACTGACAGAGCTAGGGCTGGGTATTGTTCAAAAATTTTCGGTACCGGTACCAATACCTTCACTTCGATACCGGTTCCTGAACGATACTTTTTTCGATACCAGTTTTATAATATCAATTCGAAGAAAAAGAAAATTACTCAACATAAAAAAGAACAAATCTTGAGTTTTATTTTAAGCTCTGATTTTTCCATTTACATTTTTCCTCTTACATAAAAAAAAAAATCAGTGTCTAATATTCACTGTTACATTGTGAGGACCTTTTTACTTAGCAGTTTTCCTTTAGAAAAATTACCATGTCTGACAAACAAGCCCGTTGAATGGGATCCTATTGACAGCGCACCGCTGGTATGTGGGGGTCTGAGCGGCTCTGACAGAAATATTGGAAGGCAGGATGAACTGACTGCAGTGATTAATCACCGAAACTTGGTACCGAAAGACGAGGCATGTTTCGATACTCGGTAGAACCGAAGCATTTCGGTCGGTACCATAAAAGAACCGAAGTTCGGTACCCAGCCCTAGACAGCTGAAAAAAGGTATGGCTAGAAATAAAACAAAAATAATGCTCTCGAAAATATCAGAGGACTCAAAAGACAGTTATGTCCTGGAATATGGACCGGTTATCATCTATTATGGAACAAGTCTCGGAAAAGGCCTGCGTTAAGCCCACGGCATGTCAGTAAAAATCCCTTTTGGAACGCAATAATACAAAGGGCTAAATATATATTTATAGCAGATATATGCATAAGGTGTGACTGCAAAAAGGAACACTAATACACTAATACACAAGTGCTCCAAAATAAAAACACATTTAGGAGAACTATGGATTTTCTTACATTTTTTTTTTATTAAAATGATTCTGGGTAATATTTTATGTTTTCATGCATTTTGCATGTTTTACTTTGTCATATGGTAAAAATTCTGTTTATTGCACTTATTTTTCCTCCAAGACCAGTCATAATGATGGAATGTTATTTTAGACTTTCTTAGATTTCTGTTTTCCTCTGATAGCTATGCATATCAATATGAATGATGTTAAAAAAAAAGATCATATTTAGACTGGGGCTACAAGTAACGATTATTTTGCAAATCGATAAATTTGTTGATAATTTTTTCGATGCATCAATTAATTATCGGACAGCCAGAGGTTTTTTTATTTTTTATTAAACCAGGTGAAAGACCACTTGAAGAGTTCTGGATGGGGCATGACGGACAAAAACTTTTTTTTTTTCTTAAACGCAAAAATTGTTTTTTGGTGTTTTTATATATATATATATTTTTTTACAATTTTAATATAACTACTGCTCTAACTGGCTAGCTCTGTTAGCTAAAGGCATGTCTTAGAGTATGTAACTCCAGTTAACTATTAATCAATAAATTAGTTGACGATTTTTTTTCAATAATCAATTAATCACATCACGATTAATCCCATTAATTCTTTCAGCCCTCGTTAAGACTTCATTGGTCCATACTGAATGCGTTCAGGGCTACACCTGGTTGCTCCGGGGTGAGAGTGTGGGACCGCTGCTGAAGTACTGGCTCTCAATTCACAGCTGATCGTTTCCAGCCCAAATTGTTTTTTAGGTCTTCGAAGGACCCGGCTTACATGGCAGGGTTCTCACCAGGGTTTTTTAAGTGCGTAGTGGGGGTAATGATGCGGTCACTTAAATTGCATATTATAGGTACATCAACATTAAAAAGGCAGAAAGTGATTTAAGATACTCCAAATACATTTAGAAACTCAAGATAAGCTTTATAAAAGATTCTCTAGCGTTCCAGAAGATTAATTTAACCTGACTGAAACAAAATGTATTTTATGTTGACCAATTCAACTTAAAGACAGTAAACAGAGGCCCACATTGGCACATATTAATTCAGGGGAGATCAGTGAAAGCTTTTGTGTGGCTCGCGTTTAACGGGAAAAAAGAGAAGAGTCGCTCTGCTCTCTGACTACAGATGTAGTGTTTTGGAGGAGGGAGGGGCTTGCTCACTAACTACTCGCTGAAGACACTAAACTCTGAGTTATCGGGGCATGTGTTGTCAAAAAAAATCTCCAACAAGACAGGAAATAGTCACTAGATTTTCTTGCTAGTCTGAAAAGTCACAAGATATAGCAACAAAGTTGCTGGGTTGGCAACATCTGCCTTGTGACCTGATTGCAGTCTGGCACAGGGTTCATGTTTTCACAGTGCTTCCCTCATGTTCTTGTCCCAATGAGGTAAATGTTTTTATTCTTTTAACATTTTCTCTGGCATTGCTGTCATTAAATGTCTAGGTAGGTACCTATTTTAATTGTAGTATTAATGCGACAAGCACTGAGGAGGGAGCTTTTCCCCCTAAAGCTTGCTCTTTGCTGTCGGGGCTACAGACTGTTCATCTGCCTCTGTTAGCCGATAGCAGTCTTAACAATGCTGGATATACGTTCTCACAGAACTTCTCTCATTTATCTGAAAATAAGGAAGTAAATGGGTGCACACTCCTTACCGCATTAAGTGTCCCTGCTGGAAATTTGGAAGGCAGCAGTGGTGTCTTGTAACTGGTTCCTGGAGTATTTTCCCCATACAAATTTACGATTTGACTTTCTGGAAATTCTTTTTTTCCATAACAAAAGACGAATGGATATTGTATTTAAATTAAGCCTGACTTATTTTAGAAGAAAAACACTGATGATAGGGCTAAAATATGTGCTCCTATTTTTTCCCCCCCTTCTCCTCATACATATCTATTTTTAGGCACAAATGTGAATAAAACGCTCACACTGCATTAGAGAATCTAAATGGACTAAGCAACACCCAATGGTTAAAAGAGATGTCTCTTTAATAAAATAATTTTTGAAAAAAAATTAAACCATGGGATTATTTTATCCATTGGACAAATTTGCAGTTTATCTGAGTGAGATGAAAGCTTGTAATTTTTTTGGCAATATTTTCGCAATAAAAAAAAATCTAATGCTTTTCAAACTTTAAACACATCTTTAGCGCTGTTGCACCATGTCAGAAAGTCTTGCAATTAGGAGGACGATAAATATTGCATTGAAGATATCAGGTTTAACAGACGCATGTTTCCTTTTTTACACTCTTTCATCTCAACCCAATACACACAGACCTTTAACGCTTTGGGCATCGGACATTGGCAAGAAAAACCTTGGAATACATGAAACATTTCTTGCACTTAAAACAGTGCTTTGTGATATCTACACTGTTTCAGGTTTCTATTGAGCTGTGTGATAAAACGTTAGAGTGTTCAGTGGTCCTTTTCAACACACTTGGCAAAGCAAAAGGCAATACAGTAATATGCAATTAGGCCAATATCTCATGGATCTCATTCAACACAAAGAAAACGGTTGAAATTTCACTTTTGTAAAACAGGAAAGAAAATGTATTTAAAAGATTCTTCTGTTCACATACCTCATCTACAAAAATGTGAGAGTACCCTGTGAGAGACTTGGCTTGCACCAGCTTTTGCAGCAGAACCCCTGTGGTCATGTAAATTAGCCGAGTGTGTTCAGTAGTCATTTTCTCCAGTCCAATCTGAAAAACACAGTCATATCTATAAACACCATAATCCATAAAAATGTTTTTGTGAACATTCCATTTCATACATAAAAAAAAAAAAAAAAAGAGAAACCTTTTCTCTCATGTTGACAAAAATAAGATTAGATTTAGTTACAGTACTACGGAGTTTTACAACTTACTAAAATAAAGATGCATTAACCAACTCTTCCTTAATGAAAATGCATTTGGTTGTCCTTAAGTCACTTCATAATTATAATTTGGTGCAAATTTTTAGAAACATTTTCCATAAGGCATTAGTTTGTCTAAACATCTTGGCTAATGTTTGTAGATACTTCAATGTTACATCATCATATTACTTATAATGCAATTGTTTTAGTCGGGTGCACCAGTTCCATATGCAGTTATGACGGTATTTTCAGGCTCATTGCCCTCCTTCTGACTACTCAGATGTAAGGATGACCATTGTGCAAAAACACTTCGTAGTTTCTTTAGATACACTACGCTACATATATACTAAAACTTAAAAGGTCTTTGTCCACATGTGTATTAGTAGGTGCAAAATAATCTGACTTTCTATGTTGCTAATGAATAACAGCTTCTTACTCATGGTATGGCCTTTAGCAAATATCTGTAGAGGAAAATCTTCCTACCTGTTATTGACAATGGACTTTTTGTACTTCCTGAGCAGCATTGCAACTGGACATTCCCATGCTTGTTATATTTAAAATAATTGCTTGAAAGGATGAATTTCATACTTTGAGCTATTTGGACATGAATAAATATGACCAGTGATATCATGGACAATTTATTTTTCTTATTTTCAGTGTGGAATGGAGAGAACATGACGCTCTCCAAACTGGTTTAAGAAATAGCTATCACCTAATAAGTATCCTGCTAAATCTAAAGTTCAAAGAAACATATAAATGCAATTAGTCTTGGGTTTAGGCAATACAATTAATTCTGTAAACCCCAATTGGACCCAAACAGGAAGGTTTGTCTGATTAAATATCAGAAAAAAAAGTTAAGTGAATTTATATAGTAACTATTTCACTTCAACTCTATCAAATAATGACAACCAACAATTGCTGCTGAAGCATGAAGTCAGAAAATAAGAAAGTTACATCTTATTTGAGCAGAGACTGTTTGTCTCCCACTGACAGTGACATCATCCTCAACTGCAGAGGGCTGATTCAAGCGGAGGAGAACAAAGTTATTTTAAGCCACAGCGCTTCCGTGCTGTGCACAACACAGTTACAGGTCATGGCAACAATGCACATGCAAAAAGATAAAAACAGTTTATTAGCCAAAAAAACTGATGCAAAAAAAGCTTTCTGAATAATTTGTCAATACTTAAAGGAATAGTACACCCAAAACATGATTAGCCTTCATTTTCTACTCACCCCCATGCTGAACAACACTCTGGAGTACTTTTTTGATATCTCAAATGCATCTGGGGATCTGGGAGGCTTCTTGCTGTCTGCTGACATTCAAATAATGGAGGTCTACGGTGCCCGAGACAGAAAGGTCCATAAAAGTCCACAAAAAACGTGTCAATATTCCTCCATACTGGTCGTCCAATGTATTCCAAGTGTCCTGAGTGGGTAGCATCCAGAATTTACTCGAAACGAAGTCATTTAGAATGTTTTTAGAGCATAAACAGTAGTGTATAGGATTTCCTGAAGGCGCGCACATGCGCGATTACGACGCTACGGAAGCCGGCAGACCAAACCAGATGAAAGTGCGCATTCAGCGTCTGCTCTTCCAATAATGCAAGCGTAGAAGAAGAAATGTGCCGTTTACCTGTGCAAAGAAAGAAACAACGAAGTAAAAATGTCTGAGGACTTCAGTGTTGAGGAAGAGCATGAGTTCTTTGCCGAGCTGAATGCGCTGGTTTGGTCTGCCGGCTTCCGTAGCGTCGGGATCGCGCATGTGCGCGCTTTCAGGAAATCCTATACACTACTGTTTATGCTCTAAAAACATTCTAAATGACTTCGTTTCGAGTAAATTCTGGATGCTACCCACTCAGGAAACTTGGAATACATTGGACGAGCAGTATGGAGGAATATTGAAACGTTTTTGTGGACTTTTATGGACCTTTCTGCCTCGGGCGCTGGGCACCTCCATTATTTGAATATCAGCAGACAGCAAGAAGCCTTCCAGATCTCCAGATGCATTTGAGATATCAAAAAAGTACTCCAGAGTGTTGTTCAGCATAGGGGTGAGTAGAAAATGAAGGCTAATCATGTTTTGGGTGTACTATTCCTTTAAACTTGGCCATAAAAATATTTTTCCCCATTTAAACTTATTTCTTTAAAGATAATTTTATTGCATTCTAACTTGGAATCATGAATATTATTGCTTTTGACCCGTTTATTCCTGGAAAACTTAAAAGCCTACTTTAAATACCGCATTTTCCAGACAATAGAGCGTGCCTCAGTATAAGCCACGCAGGCAAAATCTGTTTTGAAAAATGAAACGTACATATACAAGCCGCACCGGGCTATAAGCCGCTGATATCTACTGAACTGTCTCTCACAAAACCTGTAGAGGGAGCTCTACATATAGCCTCTAGAGTAGGGACTAAGAAGAATGCTAGCTCCCGTTAGCTCGTTGGCTCTTAGCAGTAAGAGCTTTTACTGAAAGATTGGCGCTTTATTTCTGCTCTGTAGGACTTGAGCCCAGTCTCTCCATTGGTTCGGCTGATTTAATGCGGCAAATAAATGTCAAAATTTATAAATACGGGACATTTGTGCCTGCTGCTAGCATATTCTTGTGCTAAATGAAAATTAGCTCCTTATTCTTTCACTGTGACACACTGCTGCAAGAGTATAACCAGGAAGCGAGGTAGGAGGACAAAATAGGTTTAGCGCCAGGGAGGGAGAATTATGTCCAGGAGCAAATGGATAAAAATAGACCGGAGGAAAAAAAAAAACATGAATCGATACTCTTGCGGACGCATCGATGCATCGGATCATCGGCTGTTGCATCGATGTATCGATACAAAACGATTATTATTTACACCCCTATTGGAGGTCCTTTAGGGCAGACATCTGAAGAAGAAATATTTAGTGCAGTTAAATCTTAGACAGAACATGAATCAAGAATAGTGGAAATTAAATGAATGATTTAGTGATGGAAAAGGTTGTTAAATATGTAGTTCAGTTAACCAGAAAGAGACAGACGTCCTGCCAGCTCCAGAATTAGAGGAAGCATCGCAAGTACTGCTTTTTCAATACGAAATTTCCAGCACCAGCTATTTCATATGTTGCTGGAGGAACTCCAAAAAATCCTGTAAGGCCAACTGCAGAGGGAATTTAAGGAAAAAAAAGAAAAAAAAAGCATCCGAATCTTCTAACTAAATAAAAACAGGACCAAGTTTAAACATAAAACTATGGTGGTGAAGGACACAGGTTGTTGTGATTAAACACAAGCTTCTGAAAAATATTCTGCCATGTCGTACATAATAAAATCTAAACTTTGTGAGACCGTAATAATTAGGGGATTCGTATTTTCATTAATAGCAGATGTTACAGGTTAAAACCATGAGATTTTTTAAGCTAAGATTTGTGAGTGAATTACTTTTTGTGTTCTCAGCTATAATCTAGGTGTTCTTAGCAAAATAAAAAAATGGTTTGGGAAATCAGAATCAAATCCATCTTTTACCTCAGTCTGTTGTAGCAGCCTGTCTGATGTCAAACTAAACAAACAATCTAAAAATAAATGACTTTTTGGAAACAATACCCTAGTTTACTAATGTTTGCAGTTTCAGGACTATTGATAAATCATAAAAAGGTCAAATGACTAAACCAAAACCCTTACTTTCAATGCTCGTAACCAAAATAAATCTTAAACCTTATCAGCAAGATGTAGGAATGCATGTTTTCTCTGTTTCTTTAGTTATTTTACAGATGTAAATGTGAGCAAATCTTATAACAGTAATAAATGTTTTTAACCATCAAAAAGGTTTGCGCCAACAAATTTTATAAAGGTATTTGGGTGGAATGTGCAAACATGATGTCAAACACTAAAATTACTGCCAAGTTAATGTTGTACTGACCTGATATCCCACCTGACTACCCAGGGTGCACTTCCTCTGTGCAGCAACCCAACGAGCAATACTGGTAGCTCCAATCTTGCGTGGCTGAGTAACCACAATGTTACATGTCACATTTTTCTCATTGTAGTGGTCCAAAATGAACTGAGGAAGCTGAGTGGTCTTCCCACTGCCTGTGGCTCCTCGGATGATCACAACAGAGTTGTTTTCTATGAAGGAAATCAGCTGGAAGCAGAGCATTCAGATGACAAAGCTTAGATGTATAATGCATCATGTCACTGCAAATAAAACAATTTATGATATTGGTAATAACGGTAAATGATGAAACAGATGGAGTGGAGAGATTATCAGTATATTAGCATTAACAAATTAACGGAATCGGACCAAATAAATGTTAACATCTCGGTATCAGTTGGATAGACATAAATGACAGAAATTACTTCTATTCACTTCTTTGTTGTGGTTTTTGTGTTTTTAGAGTGGGGAAGGGCAGGGGATGGGCCATATAACAGTTCTAAATTTCAAAACAAATACTTTTTTTTTTTCAAACTAAGTTTTTTTTTATTTTGTTATGCAGTTTTTATTTAGTAAATGTGTAGTTTTCTTTAGGGTATTAAGGTTCTTTAATGAAAACTAATAAAAATCCTTTATATAAAATACTCCCATTATGTGGTAGTCCTTTGGAGATGTAACTGTAAAAGTAAAGGAGTGCAGGATGATAGGAAGCAGAGAAGCAATGTCAGCGATGTGGTAGTTTTGTTTTTTTCTTCAAGCAGAAAATCAGTTTTTAGCCGTAACTGCAAAGACATCTGATATCAGCCCAATTTTTCATATCTCTGCATCCCTAATAAATGTTCTATGCCACTTTATAGACATATGGTAAATTTAAACTATATTAGAAAGGTGAACAGAGTCCAGAATTGAATAACAGCCGTAGCTTTAAAGATATTCACTGACGGGCCAATGGGTTCCTATTGTAAAGCAGATAAAAATAACATCCAGGCTTAGTGATGCTGTGTCCAGAGGACATAATGTCAATTTAAGTAAAACTCGACAAGCACCCAAAGAACTACAGGAGGAAAATGCATCAGTGTGTGGTAAACTGCCTTACTTCGCTCTTTTTTTTGGTAATGGGCAAGCCTGGGGATTCAACACTGGGGGAAGGAGAAAGTGGAGCAGGACCTAAACATTCAGGGTTTATAAAAAGTGAAAAAAAAAAAAATTAAATAGGTGAATTTGGTTCAATGTAGACTTTATGATGATGAAATTAAATATCTTTAAAAAGCTGTAACAGAAAATGTACTCACCTTCTGAAGGTTGTGGTTTTTGGATCCTTCCAGCATCAACTTTCTGGCTGGAATCTTTGGGTGTTGCTGGGCTGAGAAATATAAAATAAGCAGTTATACATTCCTATTCTCATCTCCAAATAATGTGATAAATAAAAGAAAGAAAAAATTGTCATTTTTTTCCTAAGACTTAAGTTTTTTTCTGAAATGTAAACAGAATGTAAGAAAGTAAAATGTTTATATAGCAGCTTTCACAGATATAAAACCCAAATTCTTTCATATTTGAATGAAGGAAAAGTAGAGTCAGCAAATAAAGAGCATCAACTTTTGATTGTGTTTGTGTTCTGGACTGTAAATCTGCACACTAACCAGGCTTTTAGCTAGCAAAAAAAAAGGGCAAACATTGTATGGGCAGACTTTAGTATAAAATATTAGAAATTGTACGCCCTGTTTTTGGAATGTACGGCTTTGGTGCTCCCTAATTTTCTCCCAGAAAATTTGCTCAAATGTTCAAAATTTCACTAGCAGCAGATGCAAGGGATGGAAAAATGTTATTTTTGCTGCTCAACGCGCCACATCAACCAATCAGACAAGCTGATCTGCAAGCTAGCAGGGAGATAGACACAGCGCAGCTGATGCAGAGCGATATGATCAGTCAGCTGAAACAGTTTCTTAACACTTAAATCGGGCTTTTAGCTAGCAATGCGTATGGCCTTACATTGGACCACCATTACTAAAAAAGGACAAATTGTGGGCCCTGTTTTTCCCTTGGAAAGGAAGCTACTTTTACCCACTTATCACAGCAAATATAGCAAAGCCATTCTAAACCATTGAACACAGAAGAAGCAAAAGCATTAGACGCATCTGTACACACTTCACTGGGGTCTCAAAGATGCTCTTCAGGTGCGTCTGATCTTTATGAGTACAAGCATTCACAATTAAGCAAAAAAGAAGCTCAAAGTGCGCGTGGTGTGAAAGTAGCTCTAGCATTACACTTTGATTGTTTGAAATAACCTATGAAACATGATATTGTACCAAAAAAATTATCAAACCTTCTTTATGAAATTTACACCTCTAGTAAAGCATACATTTTTCCCATAGTCAGGACAAAAAAAAGGTCCACCTCAAAATGCAGGAAATAGCGTTTCAGGGGGAGGATACCCCGGACGCCCCTACGCAACACAAGGCCTAAGCCTGTGATACACCAAGGTGTAGACCCCATGAAATATTCCTAGCTAAAAGCCTGATGCCACCTGTACTATCTGAAGATGTAGAAATAAAGACAACAGCTTTAATCCCTAGTGATGCATCGTAACATTTAGTGCAGAACTAAATGAGCAGGTTTTATGTTAAACTTCTAAATATTTCTCAGTGGTTAAAACAACACATGGTACACATTACTCTGGTTATGGAACCAAGACTATATCACTGAGAGACATAATTTCCAACAGTTTTTTTTTGTTTGTTTTTTAAGTTTCATATTATCTAATTTTACCGGTACTTCAGGATTTGTTCTCGTCAGAAACTGATGCAGATATTTTCTGCAAAGCAAAACAAAATCTGCATGTGTAGGAGAGAGGGTCATTATGTAACGAATTATTTTAAATACTACTGCTGCAACAACTACAAATAAAACTCTGATAAGAGTTATACTGCAGCAAAGCTGGTAATGCATCTGCTTTTGTTTTCTGTGACCATTTAGAGTTTGTAAACATTTTTAAATACATTATAAAAAGTCTTTGTAATCAATAACGAGTAATGAGTGAAAACATGTGACACCACATGATAAAAATCAATTAAAATGTTAATATCTTTCTGCTTTGAGTGATAATAACAGACCTCAGATAAATACCTAGAATATAAAAATGCAAAAAAAAAAAAAAAAAAAAAAAAAAGGTTTTATTGAAAGTATGGCTTGAAATATGTTAGCTGCAGTTTCCAAAAGACTTTACAAACTCTTTGCACTGTAATACAGTTTTCAAACATTTGCTTTTGCATATTTTAAAAGGTGATACTGCAACAGTGAAACACACTGTGTGAACCTGATAACCCTAATACCGTATTTTCACGACCATAAGGCGCACCGTACTAAAGGGCGCAGTCTCAGTTATGTGTGCCATTTCTGTATTTAACACACACATAAGGCGCACCGGACTATAGGGCGCGTTTTTTATATACAGGTACATGTCCTCTACTACCTTTAAATACCTCTACAGCGTATTTAAAAATACAGCGGGCCCAAAACTGAGTATGATTGTGCTTTATTCATGTATTTATTATAAAGTATTAATCAAACCTGGGAGCTGGCCGTGAGACAGACACATCGCAGATGACAGAGCGCTGTGATCACTCCTAAATTAACTTAAAATCCTGAAACCTGCCGACAGAATATGTTCGCTTTTATTACCGGTATCCTGGTGCCTGCAGTTTAAATTATTTAGATGAAAAACACCTGCCAGCAGCCGCGGTGAACCTGGAGGCTGCCCAGCCTAGAGGCTGCTGTTGAAGGGATTTCTACTGTCGGTGCATCGCTGGTATGTGGGGGTCTGAGCGCCTCCGACAGAAATAGATAATCTGGATGAACTGACTGCAATTATTAAGTTTTCAGGTGGACTTTCTCACTTAAAAACATATTAAAACTACTTTATTCCCACTGATCACAGCAAATATAGCTGCAAGATTTCGATTATTTAGATGAAAAACACCTGCCAGCCACCGCGGTATACGCGGAGGAGACCCGGCCCAGAGGCTGCTGTTGAATTAAGTTTTCAGGTAGAAAAATAGAGCGGGAGCAAAACTGAGTATGATTGTGCTTTATTCATGTATTTATTACAAAGTATTAATCGAACCCATCAAAGTCATTATCCTCTGTTTCTGAATTAAACAGCTGCGCTAAATCAGACATGCCAATTTCCCCTTCTTCGCTGTCAGAGTCACTTTCCGTGCCGGGCGGCTCCTCAGAAATAATGCCGGCTTTTGCAAAAGCTTGAACAACAGTGCCAGCAGACACGTTAGTCCAAGCATCTACAATCCATCCGCAAACGGTGGCGTAACTTGCCCGGCGCTGCCTTCCACTTATCGTGAAACTGTGGTCTCCGTCTGTCATCCATCGCTCCCACGCCGCTCGCAGCCTTACTTTGAACGGCCGGTTCACACCGATGTCGAGCGGTTGAAGTTCCTTTGTCAGACCCCCGAGATAACGGCGAGCACAGCGTTTATTTTTTTTCACCATGTTTTTCACATCAGCTGTGAGATGGGCACGCATGGAGTCACATATTAAAAGCGATGGTGATGCGTGGAAAAAAACACCTGGTCTCCTCACATACACCTGCCTCAGCCACGCTTTCATCATCTCCTCATCCATCCAGCCCTTTCATTTGCTTTAATATCATATGTCATCAGAGCGATGTGTCTGTCTCGCTGTCAGCTCCCAGATCAGCTTCTCTGATTCGTTGATGCGGCGCTTCCAGCAGCAAAACTTCAATTTTTCCATCTCGAGCAGGAGCAGCGCGTTGGCGGCACGCTCCCGACGCGCTGCGCCTGCTGCTCAAAACGCGCTGCGGGACCTTTTGCTGCGTCTATACTCTCGTCAACCGTTGACTTTGCATGTAAACTCGCTGCTTATGCTGCACCTGCTGCGTCCGGTTCACAGCGAGCACAGCATTAATTTGTTTCACCATGTTTTTCACATCAGCTGTGAGATGGGCACGCATGGAGTCAGATTAACAGCGATGGTGTGGTGATGAGTGGGAAAAAAAACCACCTGGTCTCCTTACATTCACCTCCCTCAGCCACTCTTTCATCATCTCCTCAATGAGGTGGTCTCAAAAGTCGCAGTTGCAACACACATAGGGCGCACCGCACATTTTGAGGGAAAAAAAAGACGTTTATGTGCGCCTTATAGTCGTGAAAATACGGTACTTTTAAACAGTTATGGCAGTAAATCTACATGTTCCATCGTTACAATTAGACAAATTATTTAAACTTTTATTTAGGGCTGAAACATTTAATTGGATTAATCTATTATTGAAATGATCAACTAATTTAGTAATCGTTTAATAGTTAACTGGAGTAGAGCCTGACAGAGCAACCCACTTAGAGCAGCAATTATACCAAAATTGTAAAAACAAATGTGTAAACAAAATACTTTTTGTCTGTCAATATGCTCTATCCAGAACTCTTCGAGTTAAATAATTTTGGTTAAATCTCTTAAAAAGTCTTCTTTTAGGAAAATTTCGCTATCCGATAATTAATCGAAAAAATAATAGACAGATTAACCAATTTGCAAAATTATTGTTAGTTGCACTCCTACTTTTATTTAAATAAAAATTTAATTGTGAACTTTTTGTAATAAAAATAATGTTTTTACTATATATTTTGGTGCATTTACAATAGCCTTACAAAAGAAATCCCCCAAACCTACCCCTATTTTTGATCAAATAAGTTATTATACAAAACTCTTGTATTAAGCAGAACAAGTGTACAGAAGTCTATTTTTTTTTAAACATGAAACAGTCTGACCTAGCTAATGCATTATTTACCATAATAGCTACTTTGCTCCAACTCTGTGCCCTGTTATTCTTCTAAATTTCTGTCTCATAAGTTCAACCAGGCCTTCAGCTCTCAAGCCTGAGGAACATATCCACCGATGTGTGTGTGTGTGTGTTTGTGCGCATCTTGCACTCTGAGAAGAGGATTTTAATACAAAAGCAGACAGTGCCTTCTTACAGCACTGAGAGAGGGCTTGAAACAAATACACCCACTGCTTGTGAGCGCACATGCACTCTCATCCTCTTTCTCTCCACTGCAAACATATCGTGGAACCTACAAAACAGCTGACATTACAGCAAAGCTGCACACAGCAGAGAGACGAATGAGGTGAAAGGATAGCAGAGGTGACAGCTCTTAGACTGTTGGCAGCATGTGACTAACTCTCACCGACAAAGTCTGTGTGGCAGGAACAGTGGGAGGACAAGACAATCACCGCAGAGGAAAAATAAAAAAACAACAAGAGGAGAACAGAGTCAAGCCAGCAGAGGACTGCAGCCGAAACTAAGCCATTGCCACCAAGGAACGGAAGGGACAGTTATCAAAAAGGTAAACTTTGCAACAGTAAATCCAAAGAAGGGAAAGGCGGAAGGTGAACCATGTGAAAACATGGTCTCTGCCAGGTCTCCCAACAGCTTGCAGCAGTGTCAGCAGAGCAGTTTTGTTAAGCCAGTGAGTACAAATTTATTTTCTTTAATATTCAAATCTTATGTGCATGCTTCAATTCCTTTTTGGGAAAGCAAAAACTAAATCAGAGGCTTTTAAGGCTCTGTTGTGCAAATACCAATATTATACATTTTTGAAGGGGCTGACCTTGAACAAATGTACAGACTGTAAAAATTAAATGGCAAGGGAAAAAGAGCCAAATGAAAAAATTTGGGCCATAGTCCCAAGCCCAGTTTGAGTTGAAGTGAAAACCGGTCACCGCATTTAAAACACAAATTTTATTTTGTGGGGAGATCATCTGTGATCAATGTTATAAATTATCTAAGTTCAGCTAAAAAACACCCGTATATCACTTGCTGCACATCATTGTTCCAAGGACCCAGTTTACGAAATGTGGCTGCATGGTATTTTGTGATTTATACTTTTGAGTTTTTCCTCACAAATAGGCTAAAATGCTGCTTTATTAGTTTCAATTAGATGTACCTTAGGAACAGATATTCTAAAATATTTATGAGAAACCTTTTTATTGTAAAAACATTTTGTATTTAAGACATTTTTATTCTTATTTGTTCAATTTTTAGGGCCTACTCTCAGAAAGAGCAATGCCTCTGTTCAGCTGGATGAAGTGGTTGCATCAAACGAAAGCGCAGACTGAAGAATCTCTGAACAGAACAGAGGTCGTGCCCAGTCATATGCTGCTCGCAGAGCTCCTTTGGCACATAGAGGAGCGAGAACGTCTGGCCAGACAACTGGAGCGAGAGAACAGGCTGGCCCACAGTGCCCTGGGTCTCCGCTGGTTTCAGAAACACCCAAGGCTACAAACACTACTCTCGTCGTCAGAGCTACACCAGCTAGAGTTCCTCTGTTCTCAGGTTCCCCAGATCCACACAGCAACAGTCATCTCCAGGTGTTTACAAGCTCAACATATTCTGATGTCAACAATTTCCAGTTTCAACTAACCCAGGGCCAAAAATAGAGCACACGTGTGAAAAGGAAAACGTCTCTGCAAGATTAGGGTAGCCTGTAACTAAGGTTTCCCCCTCAGCTACTATATAGAAAAAGAAATAAAATAATAAAATATCTGCAGAGCCCATGGCTGAGCAGCACTGTGACCTACTTACTTATCGCACAAAAACCTTACAGCTAGGTCATTAATGTGCACTTATATAACCAAAACACTACAGAAGAGCACAGACTGAAATGTGGGGGTATGTTTGGGACATTCTTTTTACTCTGTCACATTTTAAACAGGCCATTCCTCAAATTACAAGAAAAGCAGGCCGACAAAACATTTGACTCTTTTAAACAAAAGAATTCAAGCAGTATTAAATTCTTGAATTAAGTCAGGAAACAATTGTACCGGTTTATAACTTTACCAATATATTATTCAACAGGTTTCGTGAAGTTCTTGGTACTAACGACGTACGGCCCTGGGAGCTGGCATCTGTCTTCAAGCACATTCTGATAGACTTCCTCAACCAAAGAGAATATAGTGAAGAAGACAGCCTGTCAATGGCGGTTTGGAGAAGCCAGTGCGAGAGGCAGTGCTTTGTCACTCCCATTACACCCCAGTGGGGAGGTCAACAGAGGGAAGAGATCCCAACAGTTTCTGGATATGTGGATCGAGCCATGAGGCACTCAACTTCATTCACGCCCAGCGGGGTCTGGGATCTTCCGTATTACTACCCTGGGCCTCGACGACCCAAAGGAGAGAGCACAACACTGTGAGAGGACACACCTCTTCACAGCTTTGACTGCTACATAAGTAAACTGTGGCATGGAGACAGAGTTCCATTTATAGCATTATTTAACAAAATGTGAAAACATCCTATAAAATACTGAGGATGAACCCTGAATATATTCCTCATTGAATGATTGGTTTAAACACAAATGAAAAAAAAAAAAAAAAAGTATTGTTCCTGGTGTCTGTAGCAGTCCTGCACTACGTGAGAATACACACTTTTCTTTATTTTTATTTCTTTATTTATTTTATCTTTATTGATTCTCAGGAAATTATAATTTACATAGGCCTGTTCTTCACTGAATTAACTCCATTTGAAATAAAGTGAACAAGTAAGGCATTGCATTATAGCAGTCCAAACAAAGCAGTGATTTCACTTCCCCGGGAAGGACTATAAAACAATAAGAAATAAAAAGAGAACAAGAACAAAAACTAAAAAGGAAACACAACAATGAAAAAACTTAATAAAATTTAACATATTAGGAGAGTGGATTGGTGAGGAGATTCAATCAAGTTTGGTGTCTAAAATTGAAATCAGATCTTTTAAGTTTTACATAGTCTACCTATATCCGCCACCGCTGACAGAATTGCTAATTCTTGTGATTGGGAGAGGGTGTTATTTTTTCCATTTTATATATGTTAAATGTTATTTCCAGTCATCTAAAGTTAGTTTGTCCTGTGATAACCATTTTCTTGTAATGTTTTTCTTACTTGCTGTGAATAAAATATTCATTAAATATTTATTTCTTTTTGAGGCTTCTTGAGGAAATATACCAAAATACATAAGCTCGATCTCCAATGGAATGTTCTGTTTGAAAATATCTTGTAAGGCATTATTTATCTCTTTCCAGTAATCTTTTATAATTGGGCATTCCCAGAAGACATGATAATGTTTGCATTTTAATTTCTTCATTTCCTCCAAGATACAGGAGGATTTCTATCAAATATGCACACTTTTCTAGGGTAAAAATTGTTTAGATTTACAGCTTTTATTTCAAGGTCAATCAAGAGATGACTTCTCGAACATGCCTGTATTATAAAATTCTAGAACATAGATGCATTCTTAATTTTTTTGCAATATACCTGATTTTTTGGTGAATGCACATGTTTTCTTTAAACTTATAACAGGAGGGAAAAGGCTTCATAAAAATTCAACGAAGGGATTGCTTAAACCTTTGGCCGACAGGGGGCAGTGGTGGTCTGACAACCTAATATTTAAAAAAAGGTTCCGGTGGCCATAGCTGCCCACCATGTGGCTAGCTAGTTTGTACCAGTTATCTTCGCTTTTACCCAAATACGCAGAATAAAAAAAAAAAAATTAAAAATTACTAGATTCGCCTCTTTTTATAGCAACTATTGTGTACAAAATTAAGTAGAGGGCCTTTTTAAGGCTTTTTCTTTAAGCGAAAAGATGACATCTCTTACCATCAACGGTTTACAAGCAACGAGATATATTTGCATTAAACTGGATTTCAAGGTTAAATAAATTTAAAATACAATTTAACACTGAACATATTCTAATCCCTTCCCTAATAAAGCTTTCCAAATTTCAGGGCCAGACTAGGTGTCTAGCTAGCTTGTCAATTTAGCATCAATTAGCTAAAATGTTCCATGGCCGTTTTTTTCCCCCTCATTTTCCTCACCTGCTCTCTGTCGGTGAAGCACATTCGGTTTTGCTCTCATATTTCCGATTCGGTGAGGTAAATGCGTTCCCTGATGTGAACCACTTGGATATTTGTTCACCTGTTATAGAGTGCTTCATGGCGAAGGTCACCTTTACACCACTTGCCCTGAACCAATAAAGGCACGCAGTGGGAACTGGTCGCAAAATTGAAGTTGCTAGGCAACCGACCCTCCAAGCATAGAACAGTTGAAAGTTTCCAGCAAAAACAGAGCTGTGAGGGGTTATTTCTGTTAAAGATATTAGGTATTTTTTGTTCTCACAAGTTTAAAAAAAAAAATCTAACACTCATATATGATATCCAAATGAGTTTTTTGTTTAAAAAAAAAATTATATACACACGTGTATATATATATATATACGTGTGTATATATGTATGTGTATATATATATATACACACATGTATGTGTATATATATATATATATATACACACATATATATACATATATATATATATACACATATATATATACATATACATATATGTATATATACATATATATATACATATACATATGTATATATACATATATATATATACATATACATATGTATATATACATATATATATACATATACATATGTATATATACATATATACATATATATATATATACATATATATATATATAATTAAATTAAGATCAAAGTCAAAGCTAACCATGCAGGAGGCAGTAAAATAAATTTATTCAGTACCAAAACACAAAAACACAATTTCACTGTTTTCAAATGTACTGGCTTTATATCTAAAAATAATGGAATAAGAGAGCAACTGATATCAAAATAGTAAACAAAAATTTACAAGTAAAATTTGTTGATAATTTTCGGCACAGATGAGATGTCATTCAATGTCGAGCGTTGGGATCCCATTGCCATCCCGCATTAGGTTGATCTCAGTTCTGAGTTTTTGATTTTCCTTTAAAACAAAAAGCAGGGCATAATCATTAATCTGATGCATTTAGACTTTCATCAGACCACAAAAAAACAAAATAGTTTGATCACAACAAATCTTACCTCCTGCAGTCTAGTATTGTCTTTTTTCAGTTTGACTAGATATTCGATCCTCTGTTTGTGGTTCTTGTGTCCGACAAGTTTTCCGTTCTCCTCAGAGAGTTTTTCGTTTTGCTTACGCAGCAGCTCATTCTCCTGTCAGAAACAAAAAAAAAAAAAAAAAACAGTCTTATCGAAGTACTCAAAAAGAAGAGAAAATTGCATATTGATTAAAAAAAAAAATCTTCAGTCACAGCAATAAAAAACAAGAATAGCAATATTTTAAGAGGTGATGAAGCAATTAACATGTAGTTTAGATAATATTACTCAGCTTTGTATAAAACAGCAGATAATAAAAACAGCTGGAATCATTCTTTAAAAATCGAACATTTCTGACTATAGAACAAGATAGAATCAATTTGATGCCCCCACCCTATCTACCGTATTATATTATGTTCAATTCACTGTTTTGACCTGGGGTTACAAAAATACATGAAAGAGAGGCTGTTGGGTTAAACTGGAGGAATTTATAATGAAGGAAAAAAAATTAATTACACTAACATCACTTAGGCATTAATCTTACACTCATGTCAAGCTGGATAATTTATCAAAACTATTTGTAAAGCTATAAGAAAAATACATGGTAATAAGTAATCCAATTATTGTTTTTGTTTCTTGCCCAATATGGCATAATTTCACATCTTTTGCGGCAGAAACCCCCCTTTAAAAAAATAATTTGGAAACAACACATACTTTAAATATCAGATATCACGGGTAAATTGCTTTTCTTCTCCTTTGAGGACCGATCTAATACAATATTATATTATAAATATAATATTATACCTAATGTACCTACCTAATATAAATATAATATTATACCTAATGATTTTTTACAGTATGCCCATTTGGCATACATTTTTCTAAGCAGTCTATGAAATATTATAATACATAATTCCATGAGTAATATAGGATCATAGGTACAAGTTTAAAAAGAAGTTGAGAAGAAGAAGAATTAATCAAAAATGAATGGGGAATTGTGGCCTAGTGGTTAGGGCATAGAGCTTTGAATAATGAAGTTCTGAGTTCCAGCCCCAATCCCAGACTTCCACTGTGGGTCCCTGAGCAAAGACCCTTAACCCCCCACTGCTCCCCGGGTGCTGCACAATGGCAGCCCACTGCTCCTGCTCCTGGTTAAAGACAGAAAGTTAATTTAGTTGCTTTGGCTTTTGACAGTGTAATGACAATAAAAACGCTGTAAAAAAAAAAAAAAGAATGTCCCTAAAGTATGTAAGTAGCTTTACTACAAAAAAAAAAACTGTATATATAATTATAGAACAATTAAGAAGATAAACAAACACTAAAATATTTACATACATTTATTTTAATGACTGGCTTTTTAGCTTGTAGGTTACACAACTATAGCAAAAGCATCGGGTGTTGACAAGAGCATAATTTTGTGTCCCAATAAAAACAAAGGGATTTCCATTTAAAAGGCAGTAGAAAAAAAAAATCTGCCAACATCTACTGAAACCATGCAAAAAAAAAAAAAAAAGTTGCTTTAGCTGAAAATGACAACCAGTCTTTTGCAAGTACAACAAAATTAGCTAAAGGCCTCATTTATACAGATGTTTGTTGTGATGATAAAATGCAAAACATGTACTTTTTTTCTCGAGTGCTGAGAAATCTGCCTTTTTATAACCATGGCTAAATAATTTTGTAGATCTTAAAATGTCAAAACCACTAGTCTGAAATCATCACAAATCTGAACAATTATAGACAAAAAACTGTCTTGATCTTTCTTCTTTAATGGGACCTTCACTGATTAATAATGGGAAATTAATACAAAGAAATCCAAATCTTAAGGGATAGGACTATAACGTGTAATCTACAGTCTAAGTTTCATTAAAGACAGTGACAATTAATTTAAAAAGTCCTATAAAATAATAATATGAAGTTTTCAGCTGTTGAGGTAATCAAAAATGTTAAAGCCTGGTAGTTTAGCAGATGTTTTGAAATTCTAAAACACAATACACACAAAAATGAGGTTGCACAAAGGATGGGTGTCAATAATTATATGAGTGTCATGAAATGTCTCTTTTTATAAATACTAAGCCATTTCCTACCTGTAATAGCTTCTCCTCATCATGCACCCTCTGGTTTACTTCTCTCAGCTCCAAACAGCGGTTTCTCAACTCAGTGGTTAATTCCTGAATACAGGTCTGTGACTGAGCAAAAGAGGTTTCCTGCTCCTGCAGTCTGTGGCACAAAAAAACATGGCCGTAACATAACGTAACATAAAAAATAAATAAGAACTAGTTAAGAAGATAAAAAAAATGACCCTGTCCTTACTTTCTTTGAGCAGCAGACAGCATCTGCAGTATTTGGTTCTGGAACAAGAAGGCGTGTTAAAAATACAACCTTAATATGAGTGAACAGAGATTAGCAAAGGACCAGATTCAAACCTTTTCTGCTCTCTCCTCCTGCAGCTCTTTCAGCACAGTCTGCCTAAGAGCTTCGCCTAACTCCTTACTGAAAACAAAGAAAATGTTTATTGTCTTCACAAATTTCATGAATAATAGCTGGTGGAATGGTGTTATGTATTCACATGAAGACAGCCAACCTATTATTGTCTCCAGTCTCAGAGAGCTGGTTGTCCTTGGTGTAAAACTCGAGCAAACTCTGGATCTCCTTTAAAACGATTTCTTTATCCCTAAGCTCCTCCTAAAAAAAATGCACAAATATAAATGTGGATTAGATTCAACCAAGATATATTTCGAAATATTTGCATTGCCAAATAAATAAAGTTTCTTCTTTTGTCTGAAGCAGAAAGAAAGGCTAATATACTTTTTTAAATCAGAACATTTTCACTAGGTAAACCTTGAGCCTGCGAATCTCCTCGTTTTTGGCGCTCCTCTCAGAGTTCAGCTCGGCTAGAAGAACCTCCATGGTCATCATGGAGGAACGTCTGTTCTCCAGCTCTCGCTCTTGGCTCTCCAACACCTCGTTTAGATCTCTGTTAAAGCTGCCGAAACCACAAGGAGTCTGAAACCCAAGAAAAGCAATAGAAAATTTGGATACATGAATGCATTTAAAATGGGGCTGGTTTGTGATCATTCAAACAGAATAATATGTTTCAATTAACCAAAAAGAAAAGAGGTGTTACCCGATTTACTGATTTGGGTGTGACAGTCGGCTCAGTGGGTCTATATTCTCCATTTCTGACAGTTTTCTCAACAGCCTCCTGCTGTTGTTGCACCTGATATGACAAACATTTTGTTTTCCATCAATTCTTATTTCAAGTCCTTTATTATATTGTCCTGTAATAAAAAGGGGCTAAAAACTGTACCTTCAGCTCTAGATTTTTTATGATGAAATCCTTTTGTGCTGCCTGCTCTTGTGTTGCATGGAGGAGGCTTTGCTGCTCATCACAGACCTTCATGAGTCGCTCAACCTCCTCGGTCGCATAAGTCATCTCCTCCTGCAACACCTCAACCTACAGGAAAAAGACAAAAGCAATAAGAAATAAGTGAGCATTACATAGGAATAAAAAAGTGAAAATGAATGAACATTAGCTTCGAAAACTTTAAGGCTATATGTTTGGAGAAAGTAAAAAGTTTTGGTGCAGGTTAAAAATTGCACATTCGTGGAAATGGTTGTAAAATAAAATGACTAACAGGCTGCCTGTCGACACAGTGGTTCATTTACAGACATACAGAAAGTAAAAAAGCAAAACTGAGTTATCAGTTATTGAGCTTCCTATACTTACTTTGCATAGCAGTTTTTACATGGTAAGATATAAAAAAAAATGCTCTTCAATCTTAAGTAGTGACATAAATTCAAAGGGTGAGAATAAGCACAGTAGTAAGAAGAGATCCTAAATAAAGAATAAATCTCTCAAATTTAATCATGTATAGACTCCAATATGTTCTTATTGCACATATATTCACACTCCTTGCCATTTTAGGCCTTTATGAATGGCAAAGTCAGAAACTTGCACTAATTAAAAAAAAACAAAAAAAAATCACATAGAAAATTCTATGTAATTCTATATAACTTAGATATCACCTTTTAGGTTAAGCTTTTTTTAACAAGGTGAAAGGGAAATTAAAGATGTCAGAATTGAAATGACGATAAAGTGAAATTGTATATGAATAAAACAAAGAAGTTTCAGAAAATTATTTTTGAAATAAAACGCTGACTTTAGACAGTGGGATAGCTGAAAGGTCATTTGTACAAGAAAAACAAACCAAACACACATGACATCATTTTTATG